ACTGATGGAAAAAAGGAGTTTGTCGCGTGAGTTTCGCTCTACAGAAGTAAATGACTACCTATTGGGGCAATCCAGACGAAGAACAAAGCATTTGGGCGAGATGATTAATTTAATAGTAAGGATTACTTATCAGTCGCCCGTTCGAGACCGTCATGATGGAAAAAAGATACCCAAAAGCGATTCGTAAATGGGAAGGCGCAATCTGTGTTGGTTGACCTTACCTACTAAGGTAGATTGCGACGACTTAACTTGCCTCTCCAAATTTAGGAACTTGCCCCGGAATTTCTTCAAGATCCGAATCCCAACCTTCCTTGTTTCTGTGCATATTGAATTTGCACTATTTCCTTGTCATCATCATCATCGTTCTCCTTATCCTGAACCATGTTACTCAGTGCTTTTGTCAAATTGAGTTGAATAAACCGTGTCGCACGTTTTGAATACAATTTTAATTCGAATTTACAACCCGTTGACTCCTTCCCCTAATTAAAGCCCCTGCAGCTGCCAACCTGTCCGTCAACCTTAAATGGCCGATCTTTTTCTCCCAGCCGCTGCGCCACTATTGTGTCTTGGAGGTTACACCTACGTCAAACAAACACGAGATTTTGCGTTGGCACAGAACACCAAGGTTTAATCTCCCGTTACTCGGTGTCTCTCGACTCCTCTCTTTTGGCAACCTTCCGATGATCGACCATCTATAACGCCCAGTTTACGCTTCACGACGACTTCGTACCGCCAGTATTAGCGGCTTGCGTAGCCAGTCAACGAAATACTAACCGAGAACATCAATTTTGAGACCTGCATTTCAACCTTAATGTTCAAATCGGCCGATCTCCCACCGCCAGACCTTTTAGCCTCACCACACGCTCCCTTCGACTGTTCAGCATCATAATCGATTCCAGATAGCGACATCTGTATCGCAGTATCTGCCCTGGCGGGCTCGCCCGCATTCCGCCTCTTCCGACCCCTTAGCACTACGTCCCAATCGTCGAAATGTTTGCGACTCGCCGACCCTTGACAGCATTGTCATGCCTCTTTGCTGCTCTGGGAATCTTTCCGACTGCATACGCTCAAGACAAGATCTTCATCAATGGGACTGGTGATGATGGCGTATTTCACGACCGTTTGGACGTTAGCAGGACCCCTTCTCTCTACACCGGCGACTTTGACGACTGCTTAAACGATGGAAGCTTGTTCAACGTGACTGGCTTCGACACAGCATACTACTCCGACAACCTCACAGTGTCATTTCATCTGTACGGAAGTTCCAATATTCGCCGGGAAAATGTCATGAGTATGTTGTTGAACCCTTCCCTGCCCTGCCGGACCTTGCTGACTAGACAAAAGTGCATCTCTCTATCGAGGTTTATGGGGAGGAGCGTTTCAACAAAACCTACGATCCATGCGCGGACAACGTCACAAGTCTTTGTCCACTCGAGGCTGGAAAGCCCATTGAAGCGTACATTACTACTTCCATTTCAGCTGGTGACATTGCTGGCATTCCCTCAATCGCATTGAACATTCCCGACCTGGAAGGTTTCTCCCGTCTACGAATTTTTGCCAACTCAACGCAGACCGAAATTGGATGCCTCCAGGCCACCATGAGTAACGGCAGGACCTTTTCGCAGCCACAAATTGTCGGAACGATCCTTGGAGTTTTCACTTTATTTGCAGTTCTGGCCTCGTTTGCAACTGCTATCTATGGTGTACAAATTCCGCATATGAGAATGCACTATGCCCATTCATTTTCCATCTTGATCATTTTCGAGACCTTCCAGTCCATCTTTTTCTCAGGAGCGCTATCTGTCAACTGGCCCGCTTTGCTTCCTGCGTGGTGGAGCAACTTTGCTTGGACTGCTGGCATGTTCGCGAGCAACGATATGATCGAGGCCATCAGCCCCTTTGCTGGTGTCTCAGGTAACGCAAGCCAGGTTGGTTCCGCAGGATCGATCCCTATCAATAACGGAGGTGGTCTGGCACAACAGATCTTCGGCAGAAATCTAAAGAGTAGGGCAACTGTCCAGCAAGACGATATCCTACAGGCTCTTGTTCGTCGAAACGACTTCAATTCAAGCAATCCATACGATTATAGTTGGGCCGGAGGACCTCGTAATCCGGGAATGCCACTGCCAGGGGACTATTCTGGCTTTCCGGGAGTATTATCTGTACTCGGGGTGCCTCGAAACGACGCATTCATTATCGGTCTTATTTGGCTCCTCGTCGTCTTGGCAGCTGTTGCTCTTTTTATAACGCTTTCAAAGCTCGGACTTGAATTGTGTGCCAAGTGCAAACTGATCAAGTCGGATGGCTTTGATTACTTCCGCTCCCACTGGCTTGGATATATGGTCGCTACCCTGCTCCGAACAATCTTCATTGCGTTCTTCGTCATGACGACCCTCGCAATGTTCCAGTTCTCAATCAAAGCGCCGTCGGGGCCGACTGCAATCGCCGCCATCATTTTCATCATGTTCATGGGATTTGCCGGATTTACAGCCTATGCTTGCTCTGCAAGATTGCGCGAAGGCAAATATGAAGTAGTGTCCGACACTCTTCGTTTCGAACAAGGGAAGATCTTGAAGAAGGTCCCATTTGTTGCGACCACCCTCGAAAGTTCTATTGGCGAGGAAGAACAGGCACACAAGCCACGTCTATTTGCCAGTCTTCCAATCCGACGAATCAGATTTGTCGACAAAGACCCCGAAAGGCCCAAAGTTCACCAAGATGAGCCGTACATCAAACGTTTTGGGTGGCTTTCGGCTCGATATCGAACGACTCGCTGGTGGTTTTTCACAGTGTACTTGGCGTACCAGTTTGTGCGCGCATGCTTTATTGGTGGTGGTCGAGCAAGCCCCCTGGCCCAAGTTTACGGTCTTTTCATATTTGAGATTATTGCTCTGGCTATTATTATCAAGCTCAAACCCTTTGAAGGGTCCCGCAACACGACTGCAGCTATCTGGCTACTGTCAATCTCCAAGATTGTTACCACTGGCCTTTCCATCGCGTTCTTAAGAACCCTGGACCTGAGCCGTGTTGTAGCTACAGCTATTGGCATGATCATCCTAGTGGTTCAGTGTTTCCTTGCTGCGTCTATCTTGGTTCTCATAGTGCTCGGCATAGTATCGACATGGATGTCCTTATCTCGCAACCGTGAGGATTTTCCTGAAAAGATCGACGATATTCGTGTCCGATATTTCGAACACATGGAGAACAGAGCAGGCACCTCCAAGCCCAAGGAAGATGAAGTAGATGAACTTGCAGAGTTGTCCCAGTCCATTTTCAGCGTGAGCAATGTGCGGCGCAACACCCAAAACAATGCGTTCCCAACAATGGAAAGCACAAGATCGCAAGTCCCGTCTCATCCTGCACACCCACTGAATCGACCCCGCCGAACAAACAGTGCTGGTTCTCGTCACTCAGTCAACAGTCTGCCTCGGAGTGGGCGCACCCATCGTGCTTCATGGAGTTCAAAGGACTTTGCAGAGTGGGATGCTGATATGAATAGAGGCGACACCTCCCGAATTAGTCGCATGCGAAGCAGCTCCCTGCGCTTGCAAGCATCCAAATACTCTGTAAGTCGGCCGCCAATGACACCGACTCGAGAATCTGCAGAGTTTCCTCGCATGAGTACGAGTACTGTGGATAAGGACGCGATTGTCCAAGACAAAATCGAGGAGAGTGTAGCTACTCCAAAAAGAAGGAAGAGAACCGTAAGCTGGGCAGACCAAAGCTCGATATGCGAAGAGCCCTCCGAAGAGGCTTTAAAGAATGACACAAAGAACGACAAGCCGTTGGAGAAGATTGACTCGACAGGTGGTCGAGATGAAACAAGCACACCGGAAGCCGAACAATAATTGTCACATATCTACAACGGAGAGTCTGGATTTAACCACGCAAGTCGATGTATTGTCTGCTTGCATTTGCATTTGGAATTTTATTACGACCCTAACGTTTTGCACTTATCCGGATTCCCCCTCTCGCCAGTCAGTAAATCTCAGCTGCTGGGCGTTGAACGTATGCATTTTGTAAATCCCAAGCATGTTGCTGTCTTCCTGCAGGGACAGGAAGCAGCTTGCAGGTTTTGTTTCTTGGTTGAAGTATATTGAGATGTGGTATGAAAACACATAGAGATACTACAGTCTTCTCAACTATGATGTCTGGAGTTTTATAAATGGAAAACTCAGATTGAGAGCACATGGCATAGATAGTTAATTCATCATTTTATGGTATATGTGTACCCTGACTTGATTGGAAAGGAAGTGACTCATGTTAAGCAAGGCGTTCGCTGTTTATTGATCTTAAATGTGCTGCTTGGCGTCATCCTTAGAGGCAGTCGTTGGTCATCGTAATGTGTTGCAAGTACTGCTGAATACAATCCTTATCATGAAGTTAAGTAGTCGACAATGGCGTGTTGCACGGTCAACTTCATGTCTGGCAGATAGAAACGACCATATCCAAGTCACTATAAATAAAACGTAGACTGGGCACATGATATCCTGGTAAGGTTCTTATCAATATCGTGGTGTCTGTAGATGTAAGAGTTCGGGCACTCCGATGTCGCACGCTTGCTTCAAGCAACTGAGGCGTTGCAGCCTTTAATATCAATAAATCTTGTTTGTGACGTATTTAGCAGCTGCGAGCTCTTCGCGATGTGCTCGTTTGACTTTTTAATTCCCAGCTTAGGTTCGACCACCATTTTATGCTAAGCAAACAGTGATGTACTCTGTATTCTCTGATCCAAAAGAACCGCTCGTTTTCAAATGACCTTTGTGATGGCCATTCTTTCTCTACTCGGCAAACGTCGCGTTAATGGCAGAAGTCGTCAATGAAGCGCTTGAGGTCTCAAGTTGTTCCTTCTCTATGAGTTGAGCGCCTTTTCTTCAATGATCCCGTCACGACTGACGATTCCTTCTCTACCACCATCAACATCACTTCAAGAATCAGCTCATCTTTGAGAAGCGTCGTTACTACGCAGTTTAATACATCTTCATCGCTAGCTATCAACAATGTCTGATGCCAAAAACCACTCGGGTGATGACCAGCCCCTGAGCGAGGAGACTCGTGAGGATCTTCGTCGCATGACCCTCAGTCTTACTAACCAGAGAACCATCGAAACTCTTACCCGAACCGCAATGATGGCCAAATTCAAGCGGCAGAGCACGCGTGCTCTTAGCGAAGACGGCATGGATCACTGTAAGGCTGAGAAACAAGCCCCGACCGAGAAGAAGGCCACCACCGCCAAGATCATCGATGGGCATGTCTCCCATCGTAATGTTAAAGATGGAGATACCGAGCCTGACAAGGATAATAACAAGAAGCAAGCCTAAGTCTTCCTGACGATGTGAAACTCGCTATCCGAACCTTTTGAGCCTTGACAAGACTGCCCCAGAGGTACGTAAAGCACTTGTTTTCTGTATATCACCTATACTGACAATGTATTAGATACCCCTGTTCTAAGAGGACATATCGAAGCATGCGATCGGATACGGACACCGGGTTTCTATCTCCCATAGGACCAACTGGAACTGGGAAGGATAAGGGCATGTACTGCGGAGAATCGGAATAGCATCTGTGACTGTATGAGGGCGTGGATCGATTACTTTTCGGAACCAGGGCCTCTTTTCTTTGCTTTTTTACTTCAACAGCCACGTTAATAGGTGCAGAAAAGGAGAATAGCCCCAAACAAATTTACGGAAATAGCAGCATCTAACCGTTGTAACAACCTCTCTCTTGTATGGAATTGTCAGGGTGACAGTGAAGTCGTGGCCCCTCTGTGTCTACCTGCATTGGTGTGAGACAAACAGTCCAACGCCCTGCAATGCCCTGCAACGCCCTTTTGCACTTTTGGAGCCTGAAGTTCAAAGGCCAGTGGGTATGCCATAGAAAAAAATGGCCTCCTAAGTCGTAGGGTATAAAAATAAGTAGTCTAAGAACTATAGTCTAGGGAGCATAAAGTGACCTGCTAATTCCGTCTCTTATGCTTCCAGCGGTCAATTTTTCTGATGCCCTCAGGAAAGGATGGCCTTTGGAAGAAGTCAGATCATATCTGTCTATCGTGGTTCCAGTAATCAACAGCTTAGAGGCGCTTCTATGCATCTGCATGGAGGAGGCAAAAGAGAAACCAAGATGACGATCACAATGGACGTGTTGCCTCGGGTAAGACAGATCGTGTTCCGCTGCGTTACGCTGTATCACTGGCAGAGGTTCCTGCAGCTAACAGAGACCATCGCATGGTATATACCCGTCACTCGTTTATTGTCAACTGTGCTCTATCTCTCCAGTCTGGGGAACCAAAGGGGCTCGAGAGACGCCAATGAGAGTAGAAAGCCGTCTCTCCGCAATAATAGAAGAATGATGTTATCTGAACCCTGCGAACCCATGTAATATTGGCTGTCTTGAATTGATTAACAGACAGTCAAAGTCGTAACCAACAAAGTGCTTGTCAGCAGCAGGGGACCCATGCTAGACCAACCCACAACCTGCAATGCAACACGTCTTGGCAGGCTCGGACCAAACTTGCCCGTCTGTTGTTTCCGTCCAGCAGCACCGTATAAATGTCTGTTCTCGATTTGAGGCCCCAAGTCAAACAGAGTAAAGGAGTCTAACCAAGCTGGGAGAAGCTGCCATGTAGCGAAACGCCACTATGCCCAGTTGTTGGACCTCAATCCTGTATCCAAGCATAATGGTGTACAAGGGTCAAGTACGGATGACATGATAGTGACATTTTTTTCTTATCTTACTCAGGTGGTTTCGTTCGTATCGATCTCGCGTCCGAGGATCTGGATCCCAAACAGTCCGCTCTTGGATCGAGCTAGCTGCCAGATCTATATCCAAGAGACCCATCGAGAGCATGGCTTGTCCGTACGAGCAATGGGATGAGACAAAGCCCACAAAATACTCGATCGTTTTCTCCGACCTAAGATCCGTCAAGGGTCTTTTCTGCACCCTGTCACTTGACGACTAATCGGAGTGGCTGCAGTTGGATCGAAAAACATGACTGCTGATACTAATGTCCTGTTCTTGTACTTCACACCCACAGCACAAGCGGAGTCTGCCGAATCAGTCCATAATAATTAATGCCTGCTTTGATATTGGAATCGACATGTACTGCACAGTATGATAGTAACTGTTACTCTGTCCTCGTGCGGGCAGGGGTAGCTACGCTCTTGCTCGCCTATACCAAACAGCACTAGGTTGGCCTACAGAGTCTTATGCAGTGTAATAATAAGCCATCTGCACATATCCGCAACTAAATGTGGCGTTCTGCATCGTTGAAAGGCCAACTCTGAGACGCAAAAAATCCACCTCAGAGCTTACTTCTCTTCTTAACAAGATGACAAGGATACACCGTTGGAGTTTGATCGAGACAACGGATACGATAAAGAGAGGACAAAGCAAGATCACAGCCTGTGCAGCAGGGGAGTAAACCCCTGAAGGGATGATGGACATCGATTGCACTATACGCTCGACCTTTCTACCATCGTAAAACGGTAAACGAAGGCGCATTTACTTCTTCTCCGCCGACTTCCTCCTACTGTCACATTTAAACTGTGCCGGGGAGGCGGGTAGAAGATGCTAGCATGACAAGACAATAGTGGCGGCGCCATCAACAAACGCTTGAGGTATCCTACGGGCAAGCTGCTCGCCATCTGCAGCGGGAGTGAAAAAGGTAAGCTGCAGATTGAGCCGTAGTCCAGCCTTGACTAGCGGTGGTCTGAGGCTGAAACTTGGTAGAACAGGTAGGTGTGACTTCAAGGGATTATTGCTGTTTGCTTGAAGTTTGCAACTAGAGAACTGGTTGTGCTATGTGGACAACTTAGGAGGCAACGTAATAGAGTAATGTTTGTCCTGGACCATTCCCGTTATTGCCATGGAACTAATGAACTGTGTTCACTTGGCTTGACTAACCCTTCCTATAGTTCATAAACCGCAGAAGAACTACACGTTCGATCGCTATGGGAAGAATCGACTCCCTCTTTCTTCTAGTACACCCATTCGGGTCAGGACATCTTGCCGCAATCTTCCTCTGACTTTAACCCTGCCGGCGAACGTGGCAGCACTTGACACCGGTCCCGAATCATCGAACTCGTCCTCGCAAGGCCGTCTCGGATAGAGGCATGTGCTGGTGAGTTTGCATACCCCATGGCGTTCTCACACTCTCCAATCCTTCGCATACGTTCCTCAAAGCGACGCAAATTAATCCCTTCATGTCTCCTGCAACAGTGACATTCATTCCCTATACCACAGCCTAAAATTGCCATACTTGTATCTGGGTATTCAAGCTCGTATCGACTGTCCTCTGATGACAGTGCGTAGCAATCAATTCCCCGACTTGTGATAACCGCCCTTTGGCTTCCCTCTTCTCCCGAACATTTGTGGCAACGTGCTAGGTCGCATCGGTTGACGGTTGTCCATGCGAAAAAGTCTGAAAGGACTATGTTTTAGTGCTTATAGAGCACTGTGATGTGGTAGAAACCGGGTTGATAAAGCTCGTGTTAGACAATGTCAGAGAAGGAATTATCATAAGATTTCAAATTGCTGAACAAATATATGAGTGTTGGGCTGCTGTGCTAACGAGATTCCTTCAATAATAAGTTGAGAGAACCCCGATATACATCATGCCAAAGCTCCGCCCGTAAGGCCGTTGCAGCACAAGACCACTTGCGATTGTTCCAGCGTTGCAACTTGGTTTACTTCTCTCTTATCCAAAACCGCACCCCACCGATGTGCCGACCAGCAACTCCCCTTCAATCCGAGTGCTTTTGAGATGCCGGTGCTTGTCCACGACTTACTTGAGTGTGGAGTAAGGTCTCTTCGTATGATTATGAACCTTGATCTTGGGGCCGATGTCCATTCAGGTCTCAAGTTGTCGTTCAGATCCCGGCCTGAGAAAAAGTGTTGAGATGACCGATGTTATGGAGTTCGATGAACGAGACGATAGTGATGACCGAGGTGACTGTATAAGTGACACTTCCAACCAGTACAGCCAGACAACTGAAATTGTCATGTTTTCGAAACGAGAGACGTCGAGTAGCCTTTCTTTGGCTCACGTCCAATGCATACCCTTCACCAGACATGATATTCGGGGCAACGCGCCGTCTGAAAGAGAATGTAGATGAATCGAACACTCCCATTCCCCTGGAATTCAAAACCCATTTCGTTCAAATGAATGACGGTGCGTGGATCCCAGTCATGGGCAACTCTGTCTTTACTTCCGCGTGGAAGTAAATCGATCTTAGCGTTGCCGTTGCTCAAAGGCACAAGCAGCGCCGTGGAATTTTTCCCTGGCCACAGTGCACTGCCCTTCTGTAGTCTGAAGGCCTCGGATCGGAAGCTTGGTCTGTCGAGGTCGTTGATGACAAGGCCACAGCCATTAGCCCACCTGGCGAGAGGTCCATTCTACAATACCTAGTTAGCCAATGCCATATAAGAAGTGGAAGCTAAGACTTACCATGCCTCGAATCACTTCATCGCTAAGTTCTTCGCATAATTTTCCTAGGCCGTACGAATCCAGTCTCAGTTGCTTCTCTGCCGGTGTTGAAGTGAGGACCTCCACAATGGCTTTCTCTTGCAAAATCTTGATTTGCTCGTCGAATCGGTATATTTCATAGCGCGGTTCCTGTGGCATGGCTTTGGGAGCACTGTGCAACAATCGGTGAGGTTAGGAGAATGCTGGTTATAATGGTGGAATGCTAGACTGGGTGGCAGAAACAGGCTGAGATAGCGAAATTTGTAAGTCAAGCGTTGAGTATACGAAGAGGGTGCGGACGGGAATAGCGCCTTTTATGCATCATACATGATAAGATATTAATTAAGTGATCGCACACAAACGCCGAGTTGCCCACCTGAAGCAGCTGCTTTGGTTTGCTTCAACATGGGTAGTATTAGCAACCCATGATGTGTAAAGCGGCAAGGTGCCTGGGGTGAGACCAGCCGGTATATTACCCCGATACTGTGCATCTGACTTAAAAGACTCCCTCGATAAGCATTGCATTGCATTGCAGTAGTTCTATCGTTTGCTTATTCCACCCCGCGGCAGCCCGGACCCTTGTGCCGTGGGCCAGATGTCTCGGTGCCTCGCTTATAAATGAGGCAGACAGGAGTCTTGGCACAAATGGATGCTTGCAGAGGCGATTCCAACGTCAAGGTTGGGGACAAACGTAGTGGATGGAGAATCCGCTTGTTATGATTTGCTCATCAGTGCGACCGGGGTGTCTAGATGTTTGCTGTAGACCCTTGCTAATGATTCATGGGTACTGATCAGCAACGGGCGAGCTGCACTCAGCCGTTGTGCATAAGAGGGCTTGCGTGATGTGTCTGCCATCTTCCGAAGTACAATAAGAATTGGGAGAGGCGCATGCTCAGCTTTTTCGTGATTGCCTGGCCATACATATGCCGCATGCCGTGTGTGAAGCACCTTCTTGACTTTTCTAACAGAAAGTTCGACTGCTGAGGTTGTATGAGACAAAATTAGCAAGCCAGCTTATACCATTTTGGACCTAATTCTGACATTATTTATTTTTTGTATCTGGAAGCTCAGAGGTACCCTTTTCTGTTAACCCCTAAGCTTTGCAGAGTCTGGTTTCCACATCAAGACACGGCTGCAGTACCCATGCATGCATGTGCAAACGGAGCCGTCACATTTCCAAGCCAACGCGGTTAATTCGTTCTGGTGTAGGACGAGAGCCGTACTGTTTCAAGTGAGCACAGTATCGGTGGTATTGACAGTTGGTTTGTCTGTTGTCTCTTTTAATATCATACCACCGTTGAAAGTCATGGATGCTGTGAATTCGCCGGAATTCATAATAGCAAGGGCGCAATTCGAAAATAGAAGAGCCCCAACCTATTGGCCGCCTTTACTCTGCTCTCTTCAGACCTCATTCGCGGAACGTATGAGTAAAGTGTTGTACGTATACTTTTTTTTTTTTTTTTTTTTTTTTTTTTTTTTTTTTTGGTGTCACATCAACAAAGGCAGCGTGAATGCAGAGAACAAAATCTTGGGTTTAGTTTCTCAGTGGCCTCTTGGAGACGATTTGAGTAGTTTGGCGACATTGCTGTAGTAGCCCTGAACTCCTCCGTATTTTTGTAACACCGCATGCATATCGATTTCTCCAACGTCTTTTGTGTTTCTGCGGCCAACCAAGCCTGTGTTCCTAGTGCTTGGAATCCTCAACATTTCTGTCTCGACATCCCATCCACAGTCCTCTGCGATTTGTGCAACCCAATCAACCAACGACGCAAACGCACTCTTCGGCTTGGACTTGTCCCGTGGCGGAGGGGCTCGCCACCTATCACCCGTGAGGTTGTGGCTACAACACGGGATTGAGATGAAGGAACACTGAGATACAGCGGCAAGTATGGGTGTCCACGGTGTGAGCTCGTCGGCATGATTCGAAATGATGAAGGTACCTTTCGGGAAAATACCATCATGAACGTCTTTGGAGTCGATAACCTTTGTACTGCCATCAAGTGTTTCCAAAGGTATTATGCTGGGTAGTAGGAGCAGTTTTTGAAGAGATTGTCCAGAAGGTGAGCCTGAGAATGAAGAGTTGTATTGGGACCATGACTTGCGTTCGCGAGCATCAAAGCCCCAGCCATCATATCCTTCAAGCTTTAGAATATGAACTAATAGACCGTTCCCGCAGCCGATGTCCACGAAGCCTGGGAAATCTATTCCTCTGTACATATCTCGCCACAATTCAATGAGAAAGGCCGCTATACCTAGATCCTCAAACACGTGCTTTACAGGATCAGTGGTCTCGAGCCAGGACTGCACTAGAGGCCTGGCGTATTTGTTCTTGAGTTCAGAATACTTGTCCTGAAACCGCTCTCTGGGAACAATCACGTCGTGATGAACTCTCTTGATATAGCCTGCAGCCGCGCCGTGACCATGCTTATGGATAGTTTGAAGCAGGTGGTAGGCAATTCTACCGAGTTTGACTTTGTCAACCTCTTCGCCATCTTCTTCAGCGTCAAATGGTAAGAAATGGACGGATATAGTGCCTGTCTCTGTGACTTGATCCCATTCGTGAAGCTGACAGATGCCTTTGACCTTGGGATGATAAAAAGGCAGCTTTGCTGCAGAAGATGCATGTGGCATATACAAGACAAGAGATCGCATTAAACCAATTTGCCCGCCAGAGTCCAATCCCCCTGTGCCAGGATGGGATTGATAGAATGAGCATGTCTGATCCAAGGGGGCATCACGAAGAGTGTTTCGTGGTATCAGCCGACGCACCATGGTTCTTTGACGATCGAATCCCATGAAGTCTCGAATGCGGGGGCTGTCCTCGGTGGTTTTGACATCTGCGGGAACAGGAGGGTGGGTGCTCTCATCATGGATGACATCTGCGCGGAAGAGCCATTTAGAGTTGAGGTTTGGGTTCTCGACAAGATTGAGCATAATCTTGTCGAAGTGCCGAGTCTCAAATGTGCATGTGTGGCGGCACATAGGTATCCAGCTTGCTTCGCCGCATCGTTCACGGAGCAAGGGCAATGATCCTGGAGGATATTCCTCAGGCTCGAATGGAGCCTTCTTCCGATTTTCCATTCTCAGACAAGAACCGTGGGCGGAAGAGTTGCCGATACGACCGGATATGCAGGCTGGAATGATGGCCCATACGAAGATTTAAGAGTGGTAAGATACTGTTCTTTCGGAAGAGGTGTACAGCGCCGCAGGTCTATACACGTCAACGTTTACGGTGACAACCACCGTTATGATGAACTGGAACTTCGATTCAGGCCGTCTAAATATAATCAGGTCAGTCGTTGATGCCGTCCATGTGGTGACGGACAAAAGATGTGTCCAGGTCGTTCTTGAAACAAGGCTAGCTGTCAGACCCTAGCATCAAGGCAGCTGAAGCCCTAAAGTTTCGGCCCCGGCAAGCAAGGTGGTGTGTTCAAGGTCCAGAGCAAAACGAAACACCAGTGAATTGTAGCGGATTACGTTAAAAACAATGGATCCGCTCCAAGACAGATCTGGGGAATATGAAGATAAAGTGGCACGGCTAGAAAATACATATCTATAGGAAATGTTAGGCTAGGTGACTGGCTAGAACGTGCCTACCCTATGTTTTTTGAGCTTTCTGACTTCAATTATTCATGCTTGCATCGGGTAAAGGCAAATAGCTGATTGCAACACTAAAATCAGGAAAAAGATGACAATAGCTCAGTGAACATCCCTTGAACCTGTAAGAACTCATGTTCTATGAGAAAAGAGTCATTCTTTACATGATTGTCCCAAGGTACTAGTAGATACATCGTGACTCTCTGTGCGTCACAAGGAAGGTCCGGGTGACTTGCAGATGGCTGGTTGTCAGCGTCAGCTTTACGCCGCAGTTTTCAGACAAACAAGGAATGCAGAGGCCAGTGTCATCAAATATCACGATACAATATGACATGATATAGATAGCTGTTCGATTGTGAGCTTTGTACGTTTCCCGGAATACAGGGCCTGGCCCAGGTTAGTACCTAAAAGTGCAGTGCCGCAAGGTACCCCCCCACCAGAGAGCCTAAAGATTAGATCGCCCAAATAATTACTGCATGCCCAACTTGAGGATAAGATATTTGCCGTTTTCGACGGCTTCCCCGAAATGGGAAGATCAAATTAGATAGCGGCTGGAACCTAGTCTTGCATCGGTTGGACCATGTACTATTGTGTGAGACAGTGGTAGCTTCGTCAGAAAGCAGCCGTCACTCAGAAGACTGAGCTGAACAAGGCTGTAGGGGCCCGTTATGTGGATATGGAGCAACAGCCTGAGAATCCCGGCTTCATATTTCTTTTGCTGGTATTTTTGAGTCAGTATTGCGATAAAAACAAACAAATGCATGCATGTATCTACTAATCTGTATTCCTGCCCGTGTTACCGCCCAGCCACTGACTATGTGGTTCAAAGCCCCATTCATGGATGACAGTGGATGGCTGCCGAAATCATCTCACAAGGCTTTCTGCCTGAAATGTTAGGCAGGAGTAGCCCTCACCGTGCTTCCCTCTCACCCTTTCCACCGGGCCTCCCACCAAAGCTAAAGGACTTACTCATCTTTGCCCCTCCCCCTTCTACCAAATTCCCATTCCCTTTCTTCTCCCTACAACGTCACCAACACAAATACCCGCAAACTCCCAAAGACTTTGCATCTCGCAAACCGTCGCAAGACATATTCATCCCTCATACCCAAATCAGTACTCTAGATACCTATACAGCGAGGCGCTATTCTAGCCAGCGGTCGCTGAACACATCCTCAACCCTTTTACAAAACCCATTTCCCAAGGTAACCCCAGTACCTCCGAGTTTATGTCCATCGAAAATCTCAAGACCTACGGTAAGCCTCTTTGCTGTTCCCATGAGGAATACTCTCTTCTCCCTACCAGGACCGCCTTTTTGCTTGCGCAGCTCCCTTCGACCCGACCCCTGGACTGAACTACGACGTCTTGTCTTATCGTCCTGTACCTACTACATTTGCTGGTGTTAAGCCACATGTCAATTCTCCACTCGACCGCCATGTCCATCAATACTATCAATAAATCTGAAGAACATGATAACTAACTGCCTCGCTCAATAGACCCCTTCGCCGAAGCCGACGAGGACACCGGAGAAACCAAGCAGACGCAGAATTACATCCATATACGCATTCAGCGTAAGTTCCCCGTCCAGTCACCCCAACCTCTGTCGCCTTCGAATCACATACACCGCAATTTCACGAGACATTGCTGGATGATTATGAGGATTCATGCCACAGCTGTTTGTGGAAATCGTCACGTTTGCGCACACTGCTAACGTGTCTCTAGAGCGTAATGGACGTAAGACTTTGACCACTGTTCAGGGTCTCCCCAAGAAGTTTGACCAGAAGAAGATTCTTAAGGTCATCAAGAAGAAATTTGGTAAGCTACACATCTGCCGGTTCCTGCTACTCTGGCTAACACGACACAGCCTGCAATGGCACCATCGTTAACGACTCCGAGATGGGAGAGGTGATCCAGCTCCAGGGTGATCAGCGTAAAGATGTTCAGGATTTTCTTGTCGATAAGAAGGAAGGCCTCGAGCTAGATGCCAAGACCATTAAGGTCCACGGTTTCTAAAGCTCTGCATGCCCCGTCGTCCTGTCAGTCGCCGTTCCCGGGCGTCTTGACGTAGAGGGACAGGGATGCATGGCCACCTCGGCTTGTGCCTTTTCCGGACGTGTTCTCTTGCTCTCGCAACAGACACACCGAGGCTCGGCTCCGATTACTCTAGGACGACGGGCATCCACTTAGGGTGAGCTTTTGCTCCTGGTGGCTTTTTGGAAGAGTATTTATTCTATGCTGCACGTTCTGCGGCGGGTAGGAACCGTATTCGACAACTACCTTGCTCGCGTGCACGAGGACGAGGCTACGGGCAAAGCATTTGTTTATCAAACATATGGCTTGTCAGTCGCTCGTTAGTCAGATATGTCTACATGGGCAAGCCCCGCAGTAGTCTCAGGCAAATACAATGTCGATTCCGAATTCGAACATGTCTCAAATTTAATGTGATTGTATCTTAGTTTATGTCGCAGTTGATGTCAGGTCCCATCTGTATAAGTGGGACAATTGGGCTATGTTGACCGAACTCCATCTGTTTTTCTCGTGACTTTTTGAATTACAGGTTGCTAGTACTATGTAAAAGAAGTGTTTCACACCACACCCTGAATAACGGCGAGTTGGAGAAGTTCAATCCGGCGCAGATAGTGCAAGAAAGGAATATGATAGTCGCTACAAATCAGTCGCTTGTTCGTCATACTGCCTCTATGAGCAGAGTGCTGCTGGGCGCACAAGAGCGCAGATACATACAGCGTGGGATGTGCTAGAAGTCGCTGTGTTGTTCGACGCTCCCCCTGACTTGAGCGACCACGCGTGATGCCTCGTCCCATGCGCGCCGCCCATTAGTTACTATTGGCATCTGAGGGTATTCGGGCGTGAACTGGTGCATGTGCGCCAGTAGAGTCACCATACTAAAGAAACTGGCTATGGAAAAAACGTTGATGGACGTCGACGTCTCCTTGCGGATGTTGATCTTTTGGTGGGTGATGTGGTACATCACGGTCAGAGTCTGCGGCGTAGCTTGTCAGTGAACCCGTCTGTTAATTGCGGTGAATGCCCCATGTGTCGCGTGTGCGGGGGAAGGAGAGCGTACCGTGGCTATGCCAATCCAGCCTGGGAGAAAGAGGCGAGGGTCTTCAAAACCACCCGCAATGGAGAGAACGACTTGGGTGAGATAGGCGTTGCAGATGTTGGTTGTGAGAAGCCGAACCATGGTCGCTTGAGGAGTATAGTTGATGAGCCTGTGCATTGGTCAATATGGTATTGTGTCGCGAGACCAATTTAGCTGGACGTGTCAAGGAAGCCAACCATACCATCTGGACATTAGACAGTCTGTAAAGAAGAACGAAAGATATCCCGACGCAAAACACTAAACTAGCATATCAGCACAGCTCTTTCCTTGACATTTTGTCCGGCTCTTGTTCAGGACATATCCCACACGCACCCATATCGTTGCAAGCCCAGTTTCAGTCAGGGCGTACCGCGCATCTTGCTCGACACTCATAGCCATAGATCCTCCTGTCGTCGAGGGCACAACAACGACTATTTCTGGCCCTGGCAGGATACGCAAGAGCAGCTGAACAGCAGAAGGTAGTCCCCACCACAACGCTGGTAGGATGGAGATCAGCCGTAGAGCAAAGAGCCAAGGATGCCATGGCGTAGGGACGTTGAGGACGACAGCTACGCGCGGCTGAAGGAGAGACGGGTGTACAGGAGGAGCGTCATCCGAAGCTATCGTCGTTGTCGTGGGCTGTGGCGGGGAAGATTTGATCGTGTTCGAAGTCACGGACGTAAGCGGTTGTGGAAGATGGCCGGTGGAAGAGCCCCGACGAATGGGGGGAGGATTGCCCATCTCACGTCTGACGTTTCAGGCCATTTGTAGCAATACAAAAAGCTGACTGTGTGGGAGAGTTGAAAGAGAATAGAAGAGGCGAGAGAAGTTGGGTGGACGCAAGGGCGGGGGGTAATCTACCTGGACAGGTACTCTAGGTAGCTGTTGGCGATGCGATGGCGTCAAAGAGGACATGGAAGCTGCCTGCCTCCAGATTGAACTGAGCGTCTAACAGGGGTCGTGGGGGGAAAGTGCGCCAAGGTTTCTCGCCAAGTGGGAACACAGAGCCAATTTGGACGTGGCCGCAGGGTATCAAAATCTTGGGTGATGTTTGCCGGAGAGACGAAATTAGTAAGTCAGTTTGTACTACCAAGAGGCACAGTACTACACTGGCTTATTTTTGTAAGCCAAAGCTAAGAGGCCATCTTTTCTGCTCCTCCCTAGGTAGTGGGTACTCCATCACGTCCATGGGTTAGGGTTAAGATGAAGCATGGGTACTTCATCTGCTCGTGTATATCAAATTGGATGTCTAGGATGTGACATCGACGCAGGTATGAGGATGGGAAGCTTGCAGGCTCCTGGAACTTCTCGTGGCAATCCTTATGGTGACTTGTCTGGAAACATCTCATTGTGGCATTGGCGGCGTTTGCAAATGGCATACAATTCTCTTGGGCTTGCAGTTCTTTCTGACACTAATAACTTGCCTTCCTGTGCTTGACCTGCCCGTTTTCCCTTCTGCAGCTGATATCCACCTTGCCACGTACATCCAAGCGACCCTGAACTCCTGGATCGCTGACAGATAACGCCACAAAAGACAAATCCTTTCCCTTTCATACATAAATAGTATAGCTTTTGGTCTTCATCACTAGCTCGCATTGGAGCTAGAATCGACGTCATGTCTGGATCGTTTTGAAGGTACGTTGCTGTGACCTTGTGTAGCTTCTGCCGAGATACTCTCGAAACGAGAACGTTTCTTGCTTTCGCTTTGCTGCAACCCACCATATTCACTTATCGATGAGGTACAGGATGAGGCGACGTCAGTACCCTGGTCGTCACTCTCATCGCTGTCAGTTTCTGTAAGCATGTCGCTTTCCAGAGCCAGACGCATTGTTGAACATGGAAGTCCAAGATCCTTTTCGATCAACAGTATTTGTTGCTGTACCCAACGTAGAAGGATCTGATGACGTTGAGCTCCGGCTCTTGCTTCTCTGTAAGTCGATGTGCTATCTCGATATTTCCTGATTGTATCGACCCGATGCTGAAGACGATTGAATGCCTCAATGGAAGAGTCGAGCTTGGCTTGGGCTTCGAACAGTTTACGCTGCGTTTTGGGCCCCCTCAAAGATGGATCTAATGAATCCCTTTCTGCTAATAGAACCTCCGAGCTGGCAGCCTCAACAGCTTGTCGTAAACTCGTCCTCTCGTCATCATGTAAGGACGCATACTGAACAGTCTCCACTAGACTTTGACACTCTTGAGGATGTAATATTTTGGAGTCGACAACAGTTTTCCAAGCATTTTTGTAATTTTGATGATACCGCTTGTACCATGAGTATCTTTTGGACTCAGATAGCTCAAAGCATAGATACTCGAGCCACTGTGATAGAGTATCCTGGTCTTTCGTATTTTGCTTCATCTGAGGCGCTGTAAGTGACGATTGCTTGTATAGTCGTCGAGTACATCGCGCCAAGTATTCTCTAAACGCGTCTGAGTTTCGTCTCACGCTCTTTTGATAGCGGCAGAACAGATTCCACCTTTCTAGTTGTCGTTCAAACACCCTCCATTGTTCTTTGTCTGGCCTATTGGAGTCATGCCTCCAATACTGAAGAAGCTCCTCGTAGTTGCCTGGGTTTGTTACAACTTGGTCGATGAGCGTCCTTGAGTACCATGGGCGTCCTCCAGCGTTAACTAGCAGGTCGTAGAACACCTTTTCATCTTTAATGTCATTGATTTTCTGTTCGTTCAGTGAATCTGCGCAATTGACTTGAGTTTGTAAGGAGGTTCTTCCCGGATTGGTGTGGAGATCCGAAGCCCACAACTGGAGCATGTCTATATAGCTGTCGGATTTGTCGACCGGGCGCACTACATTGGAAATGTCTGGTAGGCGGTCGCAATAAAGAACCCTGTTATGCCGTTAGGAAATGATCTAGTCAAGTAGAGATGATAGTGATCAATGGGGTATCGTACTGTACACCATCTCTCATGCAGCGAGTGACATTGTCCTGTCCTAAAGTATCAAGAGATCTGGTCTTCGTGTCAGTCATGCTTGGGGGAAAAAAAAGAGCATCATGTCAGACTCACGACTGCTGATCATTCTTTTTATCGTTTCCAGTCCAGTTAACAGCCTTAAAGGTCGGACCCATCGACTGGTCCATTGATGCAAAGAGAGGTTTTGGGGTGCGTATTGTTGGTTCGAGTGAGGGATTGCGATTTCAAGATTTATTTTTTCCTTCTTTCTCGTTTGCTTAGAGTGTGACGACAGAACTATACACACACTGTTCCAGCTGTGATCGGATAGAAGCAATGCGTTGCGTTGTACAAGGGTTGGTGTTTGCAGATGGAAAATTCAAGTTGTGTATGGCAGTTGAGAGGTGCAGCAAGCATAAGTGTATTCATGCGTCACAGATGCAGTATATGGGCGAGACGACATGAAGAGAAAATAAGCTGGATCGTGAACGAGAATGAGGCTAAGACTCCTCGTAATGGGCCGTTGGGCCAACCTATGGTACTTGCCTGTACCTTGGTTATCTCATTTTCCCTTTCATTTCAGTGTGAGTAGGGAAGTTGCATGTCAAGTTGCACGCACGTACCTGCTTGCTGCTTGGCTTGTCGCAGGTTCTGATTTAATGGATGGAAAGCGCGGCCCAAAGACCATTCGTCCCCTGTATAAGTTAGCACGGGCAGGCCCGGGGACACCCATGATCCGCGCCCTGCAGCGACAAAAGCAGCTACGGATGTCTACCCGCCAGTAGCGTCGGCCAACTCCCATTGGTTGCTGACATGGTGTTTTGACGGAGGGGTCTGCTGTGGAGAAGGAATTGCCCTGGAACTCTTGATCTTTACAGATCAGACTCATCTTTACCATTGCCGCGGGTTAAGCGCCAGAAAGTTCTAGGTGAACTGTCAAACCGTTTAGCTTGATGCAACCCTGTCTTGTTCTCTCTGGAACCCACGTTGAACTGAACGATGCCCATGCTAACTACCAGCATCAACATCATCGTCATCATCATACCGGCATTGCCCAGCCATGCCCTGGTCTTTGATTGCCTTACCCCACGCATGTACAGTACCGTAAAGAGCATGCAGCTTGCCTACCTACCTACCTAGTTTTCGGTGTTCCTACATGGCCTTGTGATCTTTACTGCACGTCGACTTGTCGGGAAGTTGGTTATTAGAGGGAGGTTTTACTTGGAAACTTCAATGTTACATCATTGCAACTTGCCTCTTCCAAGTAACGCATCCATCTGACTGTCTCCCTTACCTGATATCTGCCGTCGTTCATTTGTGGCCTCATCAGTGACTCCATAAAGTGGGAACCGAGGCCCTTGCCGTCCAATATCTCGAAGCGCCATAACCTCACGATAATCACGGCATTAATGCCAGAGCCTGTGTGTTGGACACAGACAAATGCCACCCGGACAGATCGTCCGTTGATTGCCCTGCTGATCTCTCTTTACGCATTGAAAACTCAGGTGTAACCTGCATGGGTGCTTGCGCTCGTTGTCTTTCCCACAGACTTGTGTCACGGAAAAGTAGCTGGCTTGTTACGCAATCCTGGAACGTCAAGTGAAGAACTGGTCTGCCAGTTCTAGTATATCCATAGACGAGACTAGATTGACGAGATGTTATTGTTCTGGTACCGATTCAGTGACTGATAGATGTATTCGACCAGCTTTAGTGAACATATAGCCTAAGAGAACACCAGTGTTTTTTGTCTTAGTAGTGGTCTTCTAGTCCTCCGCCTGTGACGATAAGAGAGTAGCGACTAATGAGGAGGATATTCGTGCATCTTGGCGTGTCATAGCATGGCCAGTGCCAGAACAAACAAGCAATTCTATCTGATTCATGCAAAGTCAATACTCAGCCCGCAATTGACTCAACACACATGGAGGTAGTGAAACTGACTGTGGAGCTGTCTTGGCTTTCTTTCGTTCCAACGATTCAGAGACTAGCGTCAGTTGGTAAGTTCCAGTTTGATCTCTGCCCTACAGCTCTCGAGGCTCAACTTGACCAACGATAATCGATGGCATCCCAGATGTGCTCTGACTCTTCCACACCCTCCCATGACAAACTATCTTGCTACCGTTATCCTTGCCTATCGAGTAGGTCTCAGACTCTACCCATCTGTAAGACGGGGCCTTCTTAACCAATCCTGCCCCACGCCTTACGGGCCAATACAGAAAATGGATTGGAGTTGCCTGGAAACAAGGGTACTGATCTGGCATTGAAACGCATTTGATCATATTAGTATTAGTGGCGACCGCCAAGTGGCAAGAAGCTGACTTCTCGTGATGCTACGACTACCAAGAGCTTGAAGCATGTGGCTTCTACAATTGAATCTCAATCCGATAGTCAGAAACTGTCAATAGGTTTCAAGAAACTTTGGATAGTTGAAGGTACAGGGAAATTGTTATCTCGCCATGCTAAAAGATCATGCCGGAGACTTATCATAGATAAATCTGCTCCCACTTTGTGGGCAAGTTTCTCTGAGACTGTCACGTATACCGCACTAACAGCGCAAATACGTGACAAATAATATATACGCTCCAGTATCCCTGGAACGCTTGAAATAAGGTGTGTAAAAGTTTGTATTGTTCAATTTTGTCTGCTCGAGGAAATATTGTCTAATATGTATCGGTGTAGGAATTCCAACATCGTTTTTGTTTAGTCTAAAACCCTGACATTAGCCAATATTGCCTATCCAAGATTCGAGAGCATACTTCCTGATCTTCATTTTGAATTTTGGGAAGTTTACTAAACGAAAGGTGAAATATATATATCCCTTAAGGTTCGAATACTTGGTCGTCAACTGTTCTAGAGATGGCATGTCTGGAAGGGTCTTGTCATTATCTTCGTCCGCCTGGTATACGCTTAGTTGATGTTGCCAGCCGAGTCTATTCTGTTGCGTGCAAGTATAAATTCGAAAAGTATAGATAACTACTGCGTCGTTGGTTAGCATCTTTTTCAAATTGACAACGAAACCATCCTGGTGCATCCTTTGAAGACTCACTCTGAATTTAACGCTCGGAACCTTTTCCATCAATAAAGACATGATTGAGATGTTCTCTCTGTTCAAGTACAATAGTGCTGAAGAATTGAAGCTCTATACTGAGAGTCTTCTAGCAAATTCTGTTGAGTTGCCGAATTACGGCAGGTCACGTTCTCAGAGACATTTTCAAAGTCGAAGGCATTCCACAAATGAGACCATGCATTCATCGTTGGTAGATCGCAATATTGTATAATTCGTCAGTTGGGCATTTTGACAAGGCTTTTGACTATCGATCCAGTAATTGTTAGTACTTTGCAACTTTCACGTTCAATATTCAAGTGATCGCGGCATGGTCTTGATCAGGGTCAAGAACATACAAGAATAGGAGATGGATGGGCCAAGGCGCTCCAAGTCTCCTGTATATGTAGTATTTATACTGCAATTTCTTGTTACAGCAATTGAACTGTAGGCAATGCCAGCCTAGGGCGGTCTGCTTTAAACCTTGTGTACGGTTGACTCAAAGCTGGGCGGTCGGGATATGTCCCCTGGCACTAGCTGTTCACTCGTGGATATAACTTCCGATGTCAATTGGATGTTTTTAAATAGCTTCTATATGCCGGATCTTCATACCAAGACTAGTTTTCAAGATTTTCGATGCAGATATTTCACCCAGGGGGTGTTACCGAAAGGGTTCAAATCAGGGGGCAGGATTTGGTTCTTTTCGTGGATCCAACAAGCAAAGAAGCTTCAGTACTCGAAGGCAGCATATTATGCCACTCGGGAGTTCTGATGGCGGTCGGCGTATATCGTGATAGTATAGTGTGTGCGTTTTGAAGATAGAACTCCTGAGACGTGGTCAGCTGAAATAGTCATATCAGTTAAACAAACAAACATGACGGTGAAAGGCGTGAGCTCCTGTAGTTGGCAATGCATTCAACCATTGTAACATCCCTGAGTTCTTTCAGGGACACACTGCCATACACAATGCCAGTTTTCATAAGTCTTTCAGCAGATATAAGAGCTCACACACCCAAGTAATGATGGTTGATAACAAGACAAACTATGTATTATGGCAAATATTCTTGGACTGTTACTTTCTCATAGTGCCTTACAATTGACTGAGCTTTCTGAAAGGCAGTTGATAGTATATTGAGCTCGTCCGGTACATTGGCAATATTCGTGTTTCGAGGTAAGAGAAGAGCCCAGCGCTCTGGTTTTATCAAAAGGTGGCCGGATATCTCAGCTCCACAATTACAGTTCCTAGAACAAAGGTTACTGTCAGACTACATGTACGGCCAAAGGCTTGAAATGATAAACTCGCCGGGGTTGTAGGGAAAAGCGAATCCGTAATTCTAAGCCATGGGCTACGAGGGTCATTTCTTGCCTTCTATCGACATTCCGAAGCATAACCCACTGCATCAAGACTTGCGTGTAATGTTCCAGTATTGGCTTGCGTTTTGCCGGTTGTTTCGTGCGCTCGAGTGTTCGGAAGGGCCTCTTCCTAGACCATGGATTAGTTACTGCATCGTTTTATGCCATCTTAGTTCTATATACATGGATTAGTTACCCATGACGCTTCAATCGACCCAAGGATCAACAGCAGTGTCATTGGTGTTGTAGTGGTGTTGAGATTCGGACAATAGGATTGACCGCCATTTCGGTTTTCTCTGCAATCACAAGATCTAGAAATCCGCTCTTGGTAGTTTCTGAGGCTTTTTGGGACCTATTGTTTGATGGTAGGACTTTCAAGATTGTTTTTCAAAGCCTTCAACAGTAGATGGCGGCACTCGTGGGCGTCCGGCGTCTACTACTAAAGCAAGACGGCAGACGTTTGAGCGTTCTCATCTGAGCCGCCGTATGTATACTCCTGGGAGCTCGTAGACAAGTTTCTGAAGATACTATACTAGTAGTGACGAACCATTCTTTGGTAAAAGGATACTGCTGGCGGCTTCGGAGATCGGTCGTGTTGGGTTGGATTGAGTCCGCATATGAATTTGCGCCCCTGGCATCTTCGATTCGATAGGCCATAAAGAATCCTGCGATAGTATGAGGTCAGTCAAAGGTATCCAGATGATTATTGAACTGACTGACCGGTCTTGAGCGCTATTCAATACATACATGGGGAGGCAGAGCCGAGTGTTGTAAGAAGTAATTTGACACTACACTGTATCTTGAAAATGCTCTCCGGGGCAGGACGATATGAGCGATTCAAAAATAATATTCTTAGACTGACGTCTCTTGAAATATTGATGGGAAACCATGCTTCATTTATGATTCCAGTTAAGGTCGTGCATGGTAGAATCAGATAGGGCAAGGAAATTGCCAAGAGGGCAATATTTTTGCACGGGCGTAAGCCAACAAAGTAATCCTCATGAATAATGAGAACAATGCTTCAAGTATAGTCCCAGCTAATTCGACCGACGATGTCAAGATTTATGGGCGAGTGTTTGGTACGAATAAACAATCTTTTGTTACAGTTACTTTGATATTCTATAGTTTTTTGCTGTACCACCATTTGCCAATGTTATCTCTGAGCAAAAAATAGTTCAAGGAGATGCATGCAAACATTCCACGCGTCGATCCTACTGCAAGAGTGTGATCCAATGTATCTCCTGGTAGTGTGCAGCCACGTACTATATACTTGGAACTCGCTTTGTTACAAAAAGACTGTTGGAATCAGATGTCCATAGCAACTACAGAGGTAGGCGTCAGGCAAAAGTCTTTGAGTTAATTTGATTTATTTGTAGTGGTTGATGGTAGCCTATAAATGCATAGTTATAGCACCTGTCTTTGGCTATAGAATAGCCCCGAGATCTCTTTATCGCTATGATTGTCCAACAACGATTTGAATATGGAATTCTGTCAGCATAGCCATCGTGTATAGCGTTGATAAGACATCTCAAGTAGCCCATGGCTTCATAGAAAGTCCCCTTCCTACTAGTGAGTGCTTTGTAGTGTCAGTTTCGGTAATTCTTCCACTGACACCTGTCGCATAAGTAGCTAAGTTGGTTTTCTACGCCCGAGTTATTGTGTTTCAGTTTCGTCCAGTGCCTGACCCCTTAGCCAGTGACTCCCTCGCCCACTACAGCACCACCACTCCCCTACTGTTGCCCTTATAGACACCAAGAAACAAGGCATACCATAGCATCCTAGAGTTCGTTGTAAGTCATCTTCTTTCTAGTCACTTGTATAGCGCCCTTTCCCTTTAAATAGAACCATACCATCCTATTACTAGGAAGATATTGCCTGTCTGTACCCCTAATGGTATTCATTTCCCCCTTGTGTCATCTCGAAATAGCATATTGTGACCTCCGTGTTGTCTCTTGACACATAGCTATAGATAATACATCTAGCGGAGAAAGTATTCCCCGCCCATCCCGTCGCCTTACAAGTTCTCGTGGTCGTTGGGCCAGTGGGGGGTTTCTTTACACAAAACAACACCTCAAAACCAAGGTAAATATTTCTTGCTCTTCCTCGCCTGCACCCACCCCCCCCCTTCTTCTTCCTCCTCTTCCATCCCTCTTAACCCAAAGCTGACATCAAATCCTCGCCGCTCACCAGCCGCTATCATCACTATCCTGCCGCTGCTACTCCTCTTCTGCCGCCGACATCCCTCCCGACGACATCAACATGTCGTCGCCTTCTGAATATCGCCGCCCACGCCAGCCGGCGACTTCAAACCGGCAGCTGAGGCATGCCTTCGCGGAGTTTGGCATCGACACCTCCGATTTTGAAACACAGTCAGATGCTGGCTCACCCAGGGGTAAGTGACCTTCTCCTACTTCCACTGTTTCCTCTCCTCCTGTTACCTTTTATCCTCCTTTCTTTCTCATGTTGTTCATTTGTTATACTCTTCCGCTTCTTCTACCGTTCCTAGCTTTCCTTGATCCATGTTACGAACTCTCCCATTGTGTTTTGTGCCCATTATTCTCTCGTCTGTTGCCTTATTCCATATCTGCGAGCGCAGACTATCAGAACACCAAGTTCATTCAGCCTGAAATGCCTCTTCATTCCTTCAAAGACCCGTTCATTCGGTTTTGGATGACGAGACGGGCAAATAATCTCAAAATACTGTCGGTTTCACCGAGCTATCCGACTAGATGCGCTTCAGTCGCAGCTTTTGCTTCCTCTCAACATCAAACCCCCTAAGAAGTCCATGTCTCTCAACCGTCATTCTTTGTCATACATTATACTTCAAGGATGATCAGCTAACATACTTTAGGCTCACCCTCTCAACCTCTCTCCAACGCTAAAAGGTATGTTTTGGTTTATGGTTGTCTTCCATCTCACCTTTACTAACAAAGGTTCATAGTCTCCCTACCCTCACAAAGGCGGCTTATGGCTCGCTCGAGTTCAACCAGAACTACGATGACGGTGTCCAGCCGTACTGGGGGTTTGTTTAATCAAGTTTCGGTTAAGGAAGGATTGCTAACTCCACCAGAAATCTCTCCTCCGACGCTGATCACAATGGGGAAGCTGAAGTAACCCCTTTCCACGACCTTGCACAATACGGCGAATCTCAAATTCAGACCGGTGCCACCAACGAAACCCCTCGACCCTTTACCAGATCTCGAAGGACATTTGATGCCCAGGCCGTTTATCCCGCTGAGGCTTGTCTCTTCGTTGCCAAGTACGTATCCCATTTACATATCAGATATATTCACCTACTAACCTATTCTGGAAGTCTTGCTCAGAACTTTGATGACTTAAGTATCGAAAAAGACCTCACTCGATTCTTTGGTCAATACGGAACTGTCTTTATCAAAGTGAAGCGTGATCAACGACTCATGCCTTACGCCTTTGCTCAGTTCACCGTAAGTTAGCTCTGAATTTCTGTCAAGTTGTGTTGTACATATAGTTAACTCCTTATCCAGGAACGCAAGCATGCCGACTTTGCTTTGCAGAATGCAGGTGGAAAAGAAATCATGGGTCGCTATCTTCGCTTGGAAAAGTGCGGAGGAAACTGTATGATACTTCCTCACGATATCGACCCGTTGCTAACTGTCCTTCAGTATCCTACATCATCTTCCGCAAGAACAAGCGTGTAGTTCAGTATGACGAGGCCCACGACATCTTCTCCCGATATGGCAAGATTGCCAAGATTGAGACTTTGGACTATAAAATTCAAATCAAGCTCGATGTGCCTCCATCCATGATGGTACAGTATGAGAAATTCGATCCTAAGCGAGACGTCATCAAAGTAAGTGAAGTTATTAAGAGTTCGAGGAAGAAGATTCCTGACGACCTCTTAGTCTTTCGGTTCTTCTGATGTCTTCATCATCATGTTGTACGACCCTAAGATCGCCCAAGATCCTTCCGAGCGTGCGCCAGGCGATCAAACTTTCATGGAACAGCATGATAAGAATCGTCGCTCAATCTTCATGGGCAGTTTACCTCCTCATACGAATGAGCACTTGGTCCACAGAGTGGCCTCCCTCTGTGGAAATGTTACTTCCATTGACCTTAGGGTTATCCCTGATATCAATGGTGGCCGTAAGAAACACAAACCCTTCATCTGACTATTTAACTGACTGTTTTAGCCCCTAATGTCTATGCGTTTGTCGAATTCGAGCGTCCCAATGCCCCTGACGAGGCCGTGCGTCAGTTCGTATGTCTTACAACTCCTTGGTTTCCTCAACTCTTAACTTACCAACTTATGCTTTTAGAACGGGACACAAGTTGAGGGTTCTATCTTGAAAGTTGAGCGAAGGCGAACCAGGCCTACTCGTGATGCGCGAAGCTATTCAAACTCGCTGGCGGTGCGACCACTGCCATTAGTGCCGCCTCTGCGTCCTTACCGTGCAGCTTCTATAGCTCTCGCGCTCGCGGATGAACAAAAGGATCATCGCGATATAGACCCTATGGCAATGGCCCTTTTCTCACATCAGTCGAACGACAGCCGTGTAGGACCAATGGCTCCCATGCCCACTCACTACCAAGGCCAGCATAGCCGCTTAGGATCGATCACTGCTGTACCCGCTCATCATCAAAACCAGCATGGCCTTTTAGGATCCATGGCTTCTGCACTCACTCACCACGAAGAACAGGATAGCCGTTCCGTATCAATGGCTGTCGATGGACTTACGGTCAATCAAAGTAACGACAACCGCATGAAGTCGACTGATGAAATTACCCCTCCCCCTCAAGACTTCCACGCAATGCTAGTTCAACTCGAACAACTCAACTCGCAACGTGTGCTCCTTTCTCCCAACAAGATGCTTCAGTTCGGTGCTGGTGAGTTAGATGAGTACACTCCCATTAACTCGCCCGACAAAGTCAGTGGCACCAATGCCACCGGAAACAATGTTCAATGGGGACAATCGCAATTCATTGACGCCTCTCCCGTGTACCTATCTCCTACAGGATCGCCTCCTGTTCACCACGAACCCAATGATGTCCAGGTCAAATCCTTTGCAGAGCGCTCAGCTACCGGACGCTCTATGTCTTACGCGTTTTCGCCGGCTGCTCAGCATGCAGTAGACCGATGCGAGATGGCTATGGAGGACAAGGACAGTGGCGCTGTCAAGGGGCACCGTCGCGGCCCTTCTGCCCTCAACCCAGTCGCACCAGCCCTAGATCTTGAGGTCTCAGAAAGTGATGGATCCAACGAGTGGCGAACTACTGGCACCACAGAGGAGGAAGAGGGCTTTGAGGAGAAAAAGGCAAAGAGCAGGAAGAAACTCCGACGCAGCTGCCTGTCCGAACAAAACCTGAAGCGAAACGAACTTGCCGATTCCCAGCTCAACAAGGACCACAAGTCAGAGGAGAACCTCAAAGCGAAGAAGAGAGTTTCCTTCAAAAAGGAGGCATCTGTCATCAACAACAGCCCTGAGCCAGTTCGCGAGACACCTATTCGCCAAGCGCCCATTCACTCTCCCTATATCGGGCCTGCTTTACAGACACAACCGATGCCACCACCACCGCCTCCTCTCCCTGGCGGCCTTGTATATGTAGCTGTTCCTTACGAGTCTGTTGCCGCGCAGTTGAGCACTCCACACTTTTACGGCTATCCGTCCCACCAACATGAGGTTCAGTATCAGGCCCATCCACAAGTCTACCAGGAGCATCCTCAGGCTCGCTACCAGGCTCATAACCAGACCTTCTACGGCGAGAGCGCCGGCACTATTTATCGAGCCCAACCCCAGGTCCCCTTCCAGGAAAGTATCCAAACACCGTACCCAGGATATGTTCAAGCACCCTATGGCGAGTATGCCCCAATGTACAACCATCAGGTTCAGTACCAAGGCCCCCAGCATGTCGATCTTCAAGGTCGCCGCTATGCCTCATATTCTCACCCTCAAGAGTACCGCGAACCACCCCTACAGTCTCACTATACCACCTACAATAACATGGCTTCTTCTAGCAACGTCTACATGCCCCGTGCTCCCGCCGAATCTCCTCACCAGAGACGACAGCGTATTGAAGCGGAACGATACCGTCGCTACAACGCCTAATTTTGACCACAGCAAGTATGGTCACGTCGGGTGAGTATCTCGACCAGCCTTCGATTGACATCTCAATCAACGCCATCTCTCTTTCGGCCTTTACATTTTGACGACCTGATTTCACTCTATTTCGGACTCTTTGATTCGACGCATTTTCGATACAGTTTGTATGCACGTATGTATATTCACCCGCGTTTATTTCAGCATCGGTTCTTCAGTTCAGCAACGTCAATACCGTCAGCATTTCTTGGCACTCCGATTCCCCAATATCAACCTGTTAGCATATCGGCACAAGTCCATCCAGCGGTGATGATGCTGAGTCTAGTTTTCATTTGTCTTTCTCAGAACTTATTTCCCAGCCTTATAGTTTGGGCTTCCTCAACCGTCCCCAGCACCAGTAATCGAGCCTAGTAGCTTAGGCTCACTCAGCAGCTATGATGCTCAACTCAGTTCGGTTCGGCATCTTTTCTTTTTGGTCAACACCCCCTCCAGCACATGTCGGCACAGTTGCCAGACAGACAGGCCTTCCTGCCCAGAGACAGGCATTAAATCTAACAGACAGGTGTCGTTTGGTGCCATAATGGCACATCAGGTTGAGAGATCTGGCTAGAGGCAAGGGGATAAATAAAATTGTATGTAAAAACACACACAAAAAAAAAAAAAAAAAGAGAGAACAATGTTCTCACTAAAGGGTTTTTACCTACCAAAATTTGTGTCCCTTGTTTGTCAGTATTGTGATGTGATGTATTGCCTGCTCTTACTATTGACCAAGAGTAATAAAAGGACCGAAATGGCCATATGATATGATGTGTCTCTGTATCGTCGGCCGATCAGTTATCGTGGAAGGATGGATAAGTCATCACATCAGGCGGTTTATAATGAAATGACCCCCACTCTCTGATGGCCCGAAAAGACAAGCATTGATGGCCCGAAAGCGTTGGCCAAGAGTCCTCTTTACAGTTAATTTGGCGGTAGGACGTAACTCGATCGGGAATAGGACATGTTCTTTCTTAAACGCTAAATAAATAATCAGTCCAGACCCAGCGCGACTTTTATTTTATTTATTGTCTTGGTCAACAGTCTTTATCCTTACTCCTCTCCCTTTTCTTTAATATTTTTGTCAAACGACGTTCCCATCTTGAAACGACATAAACTATAAGTCTCACGCAATGGGTTTCCCATCCTTCGCAGCGTCAAACGCTGTCATATACGTCACTTATGGCGCTTTCCTGTTCGTGATCCTAAACTCGCTTATGATCAAAGCTGACAATTGAAAACAGAATCATGGGAACTGGAATCGCTTGGAAGATGAGAAATCAGTCCAAAGCCGACTTTCTCTCAGGCAATGGAACTCAGACGGGTCAGAAATTCCTAGCATCTCACTCATCGTATCCCATCTCAAGACCACTGGCTAACCACCACAAACAGCCTTTCCTCTGGCCCTCAACTTCATCGCTTCCGGTGAGTAGAGCTATTCGAGCTCTCACTACAGTACTCCGGAGCGGTAGCAATTGCAAACGCAACAGCAAAATGACAGCAAAGACTTGCCCAGTCATATAGAAGGCGGCTGTGATGACTCGGAAGAGTTCCATCCAGCCTGATACTTCTCATGGTCGAGTATACCAATCAAGAATGAACGATCAGGTTCGTACATTGAATGAAAAGATCTTCCTCTTCTCCCCCCTCTTTTAAAACCCCCCGAGTTTGCCTCGGAACTCTGTTGCTACTAACCCTTTCCTACGCTCAGTTGAGAGAATACTCTCTTCTGAGCATGGCTCGCTCGAACCTGCTCCAGAGAGGCAATCTCGGGAGGCTGGGGGGAGAGGATGCGGCTCACTACGGGCGCTGAGTTGATGTATCGCCGGGATCCAACCTCGGAACATTTGTGTAGCACATGTGTCTTCTGAGGAGATCCTGGCGTACGACGACAAAGCTGAGATTGTACCGTAAATACTCGATCAAGTTAATGCTTGCGTGGGAAAAGTGTTGCCGCTCCAATTCCATCCCCTGCCCCCACCCCCCAAACGTTGGAATGACAACTGACTCTTGTAGCACTCGGTTCCGGTATTCTCTTCTCGTACCCCGAGCTGGCCACAATCTCTGGTGTGCAGGGTATGATGGTGTACGCTCTTGCGTCAGCGCTTCCTATGCTCATCTTTGGTTACCTTGGTCCCATCATCCGACGCCGATGCCCCGAAGGCTTCGTTCTCACTGAGTGGACTCGACAGCGATACGGCGTTATCACTATGCTGTACTTAAGTTTCATGTCAATGGTAACGCTGTTCCTATACATGGTCTCCGAGCTCTCGGCTATCGGCCAGGTGGTTCAAGCCTTGACTGGCCTCGACCCCCTTCCGGTCATGATTGTTCAGTGTGCTATCACGACAATCTATACCTGTAGGTTTTCCTGATCCTGCAGCGTTGAACTCCCATCTAACTTTGTAAGCCCTTGGTGGATTTAGGATCTCCTTTATCACAGATGTTGTTCAAGGTACCATGGTTATTGGCCTTGTCATCATCGCTGCCATCACTATTGGTGCCAAGACTGAGATTCAGCGACCTCTCATCGACGAGTCTGGCCTCACCAAACCCAACCTTCTCGGCTGGCAGCTTCTCTACATCCTTCCTGTTGCCGTTCTGACCAATGACTTCTTCCTTTCGTCTTTCTGGCTGCGAACCTTTGCTTCCAAGACTGACAAAGATCTCCGAATTGGAACCACTATTGCCACAATTGTCATCCTGTGTGTTCTTACACTCGTCGGTTCCACGGGTCTCATCGCTGTTTGGTCAGGAGCCTTGCCTCTTGAAGACAGTGCTGGTTCTGGCTCAGTTGCGTTCTTCGTCCTTCTTGAGACCCTCCCCAGCTGGGTCGTTGGCATCGTTCTCGTCATGGTCGTAACCATGAGCACAGCTGCCTTTGACAGTCTTCAGTCTGCCATGGTCTCGTCAGGCTCCAACGATCTCTTCCGCAACAAGCTCAACATCTGGTACATCCGAGCCATTGTGGTGCTCATCATCATTCCCGTCATTGCCATTGCTCTCAAGGCCCCATCTGTTCTTCAGATTTGGCTCATCACCGATCTCATCTCTGCTGCCACCATTCCCGTCCTTGTCATCGGTCTCATTGACAAGTTCTACTGGTGGCACGGCTTTGAGGTTGTTGTAGGTGGTCTTGGTGGTATTTTGACAGTCTTCATCTTCGGTTGTGTCTACTACGGAAACGCCCAGGAGGCTGGAGAACTTCTCCTTGTGCAGAAGGGTCTGTATGGCAATGATTGGAGTGCATTTGGCGCATTTGTCGCTGCACCTGTTGGTAGTCTCCTTTGGGGCTTAGGGGCTATGGCTGTCCGCATCACTTTCCAGTACGTGTATGCCAAGGTCCGCGGACATCGCTTTGATGCTCTGGACCGTCCCCTTAATCTCCGTCCCGCGAGCAGGGAGGATGATACCCCTTCTGAGAATCTTGTGTCTCAGACCGCAGGCAAGTTCTTCTAAACGAAGGTTAAACAGATGCCGTTGGATTCTGTTTCATGATTACGGAGTTGCATGCGATTTATAGTCATCAGTGCAGTCTTGGTCCCATGTTTGGGATGTGTGGCAAAAGTATATTTGGTTTGGTCAAATTGTTACTCATTAGTGAAGCTCTGTTGAGCCTCGAATTTAAGTCGTTTTTGCGCATAACTATGCTCTTCTTCGTTTATATTGTGACACTTGCCATGTTTGTCAAACTCAACTTCACTTAAGATATAGTAGTGAATAAGCTACTGGGGATTGGAGTACAAAGCCCAATGAACCCTCTTCGCAAAGGTAAATTATTCAAAATTGAATTGGAGATGCTTTGCCAACATCCGTTCGCCGGCCCCAATGCTATTTTATAGTACATTTATGCTCCTCGTACAATATACACTGTCGTTTTACACATTTGCCCCTTTCTCAGCTTACTCATGGCAAGCACCCATCACTAGAGACAATTTGATCCCTTTATTTCAGAGGACCTTTCCACCCAGCGCGCTGGGCCTGCTCTCGCATAATCCAATCTTGCTCTTCTTGGTATGACTCAAGCGTTGTGGCAGGGACAGTGCCCCAGATTCGCCATGGTGTGGCTTGGAATGTCTTCTCGCTGACCTGCCTTGAGAGCACCACGTACTCCAGCTTGTCCTGCACCTTTGTGCTGCCAGGAATGAGTTGGCCGGAAGGCTTCTTGTACTTTGCGACACGCTGCGTTGAGGAAATTGCGATAACGGCCTGTTCTGTGCAGTTGTCCTTGTCGTGGGGGTTGATATTGTGAACCTGGTGTGCTACCACGCGGGGATAGAACAATGACTTGTTGAGCTTGAGAAGCTCGAATGTGACACGCTCGCCAGCGTTACGATCTATGGCAGCAGTGAGCTTCTTTCCGAATTGCCCAAGGCATAGGTTGTTGATTGTGGACTTGTCCCCCGCAGCAAACGCCCCAAGCATCTCCATGTACATGTTCTTCGCTGTGGGCGCAATCTTGCCACGGCCGATCTTCCACTTAGGCCGGGTTGTCCAACCAGGCATGGACTTGAGCTTGAATTGGAGGAGGGAAAGGAATTCGATTCCCCATTGGCGGAATCGATACCATGTGTAGTTTAGAGCGCTGGGGAGGCTAGAGGGGTATCGTGAGAGTGGGAGAGGGACGAATGTGCCTGTTCCACGATTAGCTCTTCTCTGTTGTTGGAGTACCAAATGAAGCTATATCAATTGGCGCATGTGACGGTCAAGAAGTTTGTCAATTCCTCCCCTCCATCTTCTACTCACCAGGAAACAATGGGCCGCCGCCAGACTTGAAGTACTCGTCATTGGCCTTCTTCTGAATCGCGGACATGGACTCAACATCGGTCCTCTTGGAGTCCTTCGTAGCCGTCCTTCGCATCTCTCGCAACATCCTCTCCCTAGAGGGCATTGACATGTATCGGCATTGTACCCTCGTCGCTCCGAGAACGCTCTGGCGCAAGATGGCTGGGCGCAGAGCCATTACTGAGGAAGACATTGGCGGACCTATCTTTTATGTTTTTTTTTCGTCTAAACCGAAATGTCGAAACGCTCAGAAAAGGTATGGATAGACACCCGGTAGTTACCGGCGGCGCAGGGTCATAATCGAGCTCGAGCTGGCTTCGACCATCATAGTCTGCTGCCACTGAAGAATTTCATGGGTTCTGGGCCGATGACGGAACAATTAAATGCCGAGGACGACGCACAGGGTGGTGCGAAGGTGGGGTTGACATGACGGGAAACATCACAGATGCACATGGTATCAGGTGCCAATCTTAAATGTTCCTTACGGGCAGAGCCTCAACACTACGCTCGACATCATAGCTTGACAGCCTATTCCACGAGCGAAGGCTCACTACCACAGCTTTAGCTGCTCTTACGACTAAACCTCATGTTCTTCGACTCCCGGTGAGCCAATTGGGCTCCACGAAAGCTTGCGACAGCTTGGACATCGAATCCAAATTCTACCGAACCACCAAAATAAATCGCCCATCATGAGGGTCACGCATACGCTCTTATCGAGAAGCTTTTTTGGTCGAAGCGTGGACGAGCTGAAGAGGCGCACGCGAATAGGTATACTCTGGTTGTCCTCGAGTAAGACCCAAAGCTGACCATTGCAGCTGTGAGCTTCGAGGCTATCAAAGGCGCTACACAGCCCAAGCCGCTATACGATTTTAACGCCCCCGAAAGCGTTCGCGACTGCATTGTTATGTCTGACAAAACCATTGGAGGTTTCTCACAAAGTAACTTTGACTTCCACAAGTCTACCGAGTCGAATACTAGTTCAAAGACACCCTCCGCCTATGCCCGCTTTCACGGCAACATCTCTACCCGCCTTCCTGATGATCGTCCCAACATCCAGCGTACAGGCTTCGCCGGCTTCCGATCTCCTGACCAAAAACCTACAATGTTTGGTCGTTCAATGTGGGATATTGACCCCTACATATACCTCGCCCTGCGCGTCAAATCCGATGGCCGCAGTTACTTCGTCAATGTGCAGACAGAGAGTGTTGAGCCCTCAGACCTGCACCAACATCGACTGTTTCCGAAACGACCGGGTCACTGGGAAACTGTGCTGATCAAATGGAACGACTTTGTTAGAACAAACCATGGTTTCGTCGTGGAGCCGCAGACTGAAATGTTGCGACAGAAGGTACTGACTGTTGGTGTTGGGCTGACAGACCGCGTTGATGGTCCTTTTGAGCTTTGTATAGAAAGAGCCTGGGCCACGAACGACGCAAGTGAGGCTGACATAATGGAAGAACCTCAAGCTTCGGCTATCTCAGAAGGAGGTGAACTGAGGAATAAAAAGGGTGAAAGGGTGCGGTGGTAGATCCTAGCCATAGGACAATGCGATATTGCTCATGTATTTATAGACTTTATGCCCGTGAATGAGCCTCTATGGACTGACTGATATATTGTTGGTCTTTGTACAAATAAAGGCACAGCGAGGTCTAATTTGGTTGCGTCGGTAGATATGTATTTATGCCTGCAGTCATCAAACGTTACCCTTCGAGACTGAGTGATTCAGCAGTCTTCTTGAGTGATACGTACGCCGCAGCGTAATCTGCTGCCAATGTTAGATCCCCCATTAACTTCATGATCATAGCCTTCTTCGCCATCATTTGACATTGCATGTTGATGTCTTCGATACTTGAGTAATGGTCAAAAGATTTCTGTATAGCAGCGAGAGCCTTGGTCATGTATTCCGTTCGTTTCGATGACCTGGGCTCGAATTTTCCAGCAAGTCCCATATTGGCATCAGCGAGATAACTGTAAAGCTGAGCTGCCAGGCTTGCGGTCTCACACTCTAAAGAGCGAGGAATGATAGCCAGCAAAAGTTGAGAGGCGGCCTCGAATTCTCCCAGCGAAATCAGAATGTTCGACACAGATCCAATCGCCTGCCAGAGACAAGGAATGAGACGAGCTCCCCACGAAATGCTTGCAGCTCGCAGAGCAGTTGTGAATCCCCTCTGAGGCCGGCCACACTTGTCGAGAAGAGAGGCTTTGAGTAGTAGGAGTTTGACTCGAAGAACGACATCCTTCTTCTCGTCTTGGAGTTGCGACATCATGTCGTCGACCTTGGAAAAAGCTGCTTGCAGGTCTCCCCGACGAGTAAGATAGTCGATGTGTAGAGTATCGACCAAAAATGCCATGTCAGGTTCGAGGTCATCCATCTTAGATTGTAGGACCTGAGATAGCAGTCTCTCAGCTCCTTCCAGGTTGTTATGATGAAGGTCTCTCTTGAGCTTGGTGATTCCTCGATACTTGTGCCAGTATTGGCTTGGTTTCCAAGATCGTAAAGAGTTTTCTTCCAATTGTTCCAATTTGCTTAATGCTTCATCATAACGACCACGCAATGCTAGTAAAAGAGCAAGGCGGCAAGTAAGCTTAAGCTCATCGTCAAATATGGCGTTGCGGGCATGGCATCTCAGGAAGACCTCGCAAGTAGCGGACGAAAGAGTCGATAGCCCAAGTCTATCCCATAGTGCCGAGGTGAGCGAGAAATGAGAGCCAAACATATTCTTCATGTTTCTCTCGACTATGATGTGCGAGCTTCGGACTATAGACTCAAACGCTGTGGCCACACTGTCGCCGTTGAGAAGTCCGAGTTTGGCTTCGCTGAGCAGAACCGAGCTCCACAATGTCCACATGCCTGTCTCCTTGGCCTTGACTCTGAGAAAGGCCAAGCTTTCTTTGCCCGTACCAAGCATACTATTAGATTCCAGGTTGTGGACAAGGTCAGGATGTGCACGACCAAAGTGGAAGAGCCAGTTCAAGGCAAAGTTGAGACACGTCATGTCGCGGTTCTCTCGGGCTGTCGAAACGGTTTCGAGCATGGCAGCCACTGCTTCTTTGTGGCAGCCAAAGTCGGCTTGCAGGACAGCAAGATTCATCAGAGCGTACTGGTAAAACAGACGGTCTCGATTCTGCATAGTGTAGTCGAAGTATCTGTGAAGATAATCGAATGCAGTGGGATAATCCCCAGCTCTCCATGAGTCAAGAAACCTGTCTACTGTTAAAGATCACGGAAACTGCCTGTGGCAACTGCCAACTTACTTGAGGTAGTGTGTCAGACTGGGGACAAGGTAACTATCATTGAGTAGGTCGTGAAACTGATGGCGGATCTCGAGAGGTACTCTGTTGCCAAATTCTGGCCGAATTAGCATTTATGAACAAATGCATTCGCGGGTCTCTTACTCTGCATCTGCTCGATCTGGAATTCCAGGAGACTCTCAATGTCGTCGGTGCTCACGGGGAGTGACCCGCTCTGGTCTCCTGTGAGCATGTCGCCATAAGCCACTGAAGCCAATGCCATGACACTCTGGTGATCCCAGTCCTCTTGTTCACCCATCAGAAGAACGTTGTCAAAACTCAGTCGCCCAAATCCGGGGATTTTGCGCTTCAGATAAGAGGCAGTTGGTTGTCGATATCGTACAAAGTTTTTCCACAACTCTGTACAGTCGTGAAATTGTAGTCGTTGGTATTCAAGTCTTGCTCTCCGTACGAATGTTCCAAAAGGAGAGTTTGGGGAGAGCTTGATGCCTTCCTCCTCTTCTACGGGCTGGCCCAATTCAGCCAGTCTCTTTCGCTCCTCCTTTGTCTTGGCCAGCATCCCAGACAAGTTGTCAAAGAAGTTGTGGAGCGCATCTAAGGAGTTGATATCCCAAAGCTTGCCGAGGAACTGGTCCCATAATCTTCGTCCAGGCATACCCATCAGAAAAGGGTAGCTTCCGAGGAGTTTTTCGAAATCTTTGATGCTGATGACGAGCCCAACAGTGCGCTCTGCTTTGCTCCATCTCTCGGACTGGTCGGCGGAAGCTTTTGAAGGAGTGTAGTCCATGAGATGAGAAGTGACAAAAGACAGCACAGGTAAGATAGCATCACTCGGCACGGCGTCTTCAACATAGAGCTCTACGAGGGCGAGAAGGCCGATTTTGGCCGGGTTGAGATATCGGGCCATGATTTCGAGCCATGAATCAAAATACTTTAGGGAGGGAAATTTCTCGAGGAAGAAAGATGATATGGAGTGATATGTCCAGAGGCAAGCGACGTTCTTTCTACACGGCACCCAGACGCGCCTGCCCAAAAGTTAATCAGATGCCCAGAAGATCGCTCTTGCCAAAGATACAAGCTACCTCTAGCTAACAATTACCTCGTTGAGCTCAGGTTTGTCTGATCTTCTTCAGGAATGAAATCCCAGTAAATGGTATTTTAATTGCTTGACCACTTACGGGTGGCGCGTCTGTACTGATGTTGTTGTTAAGGGTCGTTGTTTAAGTGGGGCTTGTCCAGCTCGACGCTTGAAGTGAGATGACACAATCCCCTCAGTTGGTGGGGGCTGCATCACGACGACAATACTAACATTAGACAAGTTTAGACAAGTTTAAGGGGGTATTTGGAGGAGATTTAGAAGAATTTATGATGAGACCGAGGCAAAACTTAGCATAAATAGGATAAACCTCAGACAATAATTGTCACATTTTAGAAGATAAACAATAGTCATTTAGAAGACATTAGATAAAAATTAGACGAGGTAGGCCAGTACATGGGAGGAGACAGAAAGTAGAGGTTCAGGAGTGTATGACAGGAACTCAAAGATGAGCAGACAAATCCGATGGCAGATACAAGGCTCTATCCCTATGATTTGACACACTACCATGTTTGCCTTGTTTAGTTCACGCGTTAACTCAGAGTCCAACACTTCAACAATCAGTCAATTCGAGTCTAGGGAACATGTACGAAGCATCTCCAGAGGGAGTAGTCCTTAAAGGAGCGATCCAGCAATTGTCCAACGTATGAGCTATCAACAGATCATACTTAGGCGACCTTGTCCTTGTTGTGGTAGTTAACCTCGTCGTTCCAGCTATACAATGTTAGTACGTAATCTCTCAGAACTGTAGAGCAAGAAAGTTTCAAGCTCAGTAGCCTGAAGCTGGTATCCAAGCTTATTATAGCTTTACTAGAGCTACTCAAGCTTCTTCAACTACAATGATGTCACAACTTACAAGAGAGTCTACGATAATGTTAGTAACGTACAAATCAGCTAGGGGTTTCCAACCAGACTCACCTTGTCTCCGTTACCCCACTGGTAGTTCTTGGAACGGATGTTCTGGTAGGGGTACTCGGTGCGCTCCTCCAGAGGAGGCATGTGAGACCAGTGCTCCCAGTGCTCGTTCCAGAGCCAGTAGGCGTTGGCACCGGCGGCAATAAGGCAGGGGGCGACACCGCTTTAATCATGTTAGCCATTGCTATCCCGACTCGTCACCACAATCACGTCGTCTCCAACATTCGATGCTCCGGATTCGATGCCGGGTTCGTAATTCGCTCAAAGGATCGAGTTCGGACGTACTAGAGAGAGATCTTCTTCCAGAGTTCTGTCAATCGTCAGCAGCCATGCTTTATGCCTCCAATTGACCTAATTCGGCGTCGTTGATTGTCGACTCACCAGTGGTACCAGCAGCGTGCTCCTTGATGTGCTGACGCTCCTTGATGAACTCGTTCTGTGTGCTGGCAAATCGGCGCTGGGCGGGAGCGCGAAGCTGGGCGGTAGCGCGCGTGGCAGCGCGGGTGAATCGGACGGCGGACATCGTGGACGTTGTTGTTCGCTCGACGGTTGATGAGTCTAAGCAAGTTTGTGGTCAGGTCATTCTTGGACGAGCTCGGTTAGAACCGCCAATGAAAGCTGCCTCAATTGTAAGGTATCAAATTCCCCAGCCGGAGTTTTTACGCACGTGACCTCGTGCTGGGGGCGCGCTGGTGCAGGCTCAACACCACGCGGTGGAGCTCTGCGTCATTGCAAGGATCACGGCATCTTATACTGGAGTGTCTTGCTGTTTAGGGAGCAGCACTCAATACAGGCAGGCTCAAATCTTCTACACTTTGCATTACTTCTGTTTCAAAGCTTCCAGATACTGTAAATTTCCTCAAACTCTCCCAATTGCTGCCTCTTCCCTCTCATAGCGAATCCTTCCACACTTCGACTCATGACCACAAGATCATTAGTACTCCGAAATGAGTCGTGAGGCTCTCACGACATTCGCGTCTGCTCACTTGTGACAATTCTCATTATTAATCTCAAATCTTCGTATCTGGAATCATGGCGTTTCGACTTACCACCTGGAATGGTGAGTTCACCCACTTCTTATGAAGCCCTTGCACTAACCGCTTCTACAGTCAACGGCATCAGGTTTGTCACAGTGAATCACAGTCAAAATAGGATACTAAGGAAGCCTCAGGAATCCATTCGGTTATCAACCTTGGAGGGAAAAGAGAACCTTCCAAGTAAGCTTCTTCCTCTCACACCCTACACCCGATTCCTTCCACTCACCTCCAATCAGGCTATGTTCGATATCCTAGAAGCGGATATTATTGTTATGCAGGAGACTAAGATCCAACAAAAAGACTTACGCGATGACATGGTTCTCATCCCAGGGTGGGATGTCTTCTTCAGCTTGCCGAAGCACAAAAAAGGCAAGTCGCTCCCTCTTCTTAAAAGCATCTCCTAACACTCCCAGGATACTCTGGCGTCGCCATCTACACACGCAACTCTACATGTGCTCCTATACGAGCTGAAGAAGGAATCACCGGCATCTTGACTCCTCCAAAGTCCATGACTAGATACCGCGATCTCCCAGACGACCAACAGATCGGTGGCTATCCTCGACCTGGCCAGCTCGACGGTATCGTCGACGAAGCAACTCTGGACTCAGAGGGCCGCTGTGTCATCCTTGAGTTTCCAGGTTTTGTACTCCTTGGGGTTTACAGTCCTGCAAACCGCGATGAAACCCGCGACGATTTTCGAATCGGTTTCCTTCAAGCACTTGATGTGCGGATACGAAACTTAGTCGCTGCAGGGAAGCAGGTCGTTCTCACAGGCGACTTGAACATTGTTCGCTCCGAGGTTGATTCGACCAATGTCGCGGAGACGCTTCGCAAAGGAAATCTCGACCTGAGCGAATGGATGAGCATGCCTGCGCGGCGCATCTTCAACCAACTCATCTTTGAAGAGGGCGTACTTGGGGACAGAGGCCAAAGCCACAAAGATCCTGTCCTTTGGGATTTGTGTCGCTACTTTCACCCCGAGCGAGCTGGCATGAATACCTGCTGGGATACCAAGCGCAACACACGCCCTGCCAATAACGGAAGTCGGATCGACTACGTCTTATGTAGCGACGGTATCAAGACCTGGTTCAACTTCTCGAACATTCAGGAGGGCTTGATGGGATCTGATCATTGTCCTGTCTTTGCCACTTTCTCCGACACAGTGATGGTACAGGGCGAGGAACGTGCTTTACCGGAAATGATGAACCCACCTGGCATGTTTCAAGGCGAGCGGCGCCTTCGAGATTGGAATACGAAGGATCTGCTTCCTTTGTCTGCAAAGCTGATGCCAGAGTTTGACCGACGTCAGAGCATCCGCGACATGTTCACAAAGAAAGCTACCTCAGCCGCCCCTCCACAAGAACCTGCGAATCCAGGCGCTGCTGCAAAATCTTTAATGGATGGGGATGGCAGCGCTGAAGAGTTCAAAGAGACGTCGGATGCAGCTTCAGAGCCCCAAGCCAGCACTCCACTTACACTAAAGCTGGGTGAGACTCCTGGCCCAACCAAACAGTCCGTCTCTCCACTGAATGCTAAAAGACCTGGATATGCCACCAGCACGACAAGCCGGCCACTCAAGAAGTCCAAGTCTTCGATAGGTGCCAAAGATCCCAAGAGCAAGGTGGCGCCTGGTCAACGCACGCTACAAGGGTTCTTCAAGCCCAAAGCGCCAGCGGCTCAACATGACAGGTTGGGGCGAGTGGAGGCAAGTTCTATTCCCTCCCCGACAAAGAAACCAACAGTCTCGACAAGAGGAATAACCAGTCCGCAACAAACAAACACTCCAGAAGCTATGTTTACAGAACGGTCACCGCTCAGGGTCTCTCATCGCGGAAACGGGCCCGACTCTCCTGACAGAGTGTTCGACCCAATAGAAGCCAAGGAGTCATGGTCCAAGTTGCTGGGAAAGAGGGTTGCACCAAGATGCGAACATGACGAACCCTGCATAAGCCTTACTACCAAGAAATCGGGAGTCAATTGTGGTACGTCTTACAACGGCAACTGATCCAACGTTCATGCGGTGGCGTTCTCGTTGCACAACGCCGTGGCTGCAATGTTGGCTACCTATACAACATCAAGCCTTGAAAGCTAATTCTATCGACAGGTCGTTCCTTTTACATTTGCCCGCGGCCACTGGGACCGTCAGGAGAGAAGGAGAGGAACTCGGAGTGGCGTTGCAGTACATTCATCTGGAGCAGTGATTGGAGTGGTTCTTCAGTGAACCGTTGACGTGAGCATTTCATTTGCTAGGTGTACTAAACAGATACACAATTAGATAAACTATGGGTCGTAGTCTTGGGGGAGCAAGTTTAGGTTGTTCATGGTAACTGAGTAGTCACATACGCACATAATTATACTAGTACAAGAGTAGGGTAGTAGTCAGGTGTATAGAAGACTGAGAGCAATAGAAGAGAGGTCATAATAGAACATGTTCAAGTAGTACAACATGGTTTCCACCAGTGTTGTGATATTGAATCCAAGGTAGACATTTTACAAGTGACGTGGTAAAAGAGCGAGAGTCCAGTGATTGACCTTAATCAATTTCCACCATAACACAGCGTAGATCGTTGTCGATGGGCTAGGTATTTATGTATCTAGCTAGTCATTAATATTAAGAGCGACCTTTTTGCCATAAATCAGTGCAACAGTAAACAGAGTAAGTGCGTTACAAGCTGTGCGACCGTCGTGTCGCTTGTTGTTCCTTGTTCCGATTTGATTCAGGCCCAGAAGACTCTTCATATGAAGAATCAGAGCAACAACGTGTAACAACGATCCGAATTAACAGCTAGAAACTCGGAGGTCAAGCTGCTTGCATCCCACTATAGGTATCATCAAATCCATGAGAACAGTACCACCCCATGTCCATGTCCACGCTTGCCATTATGCAACAGCACGATATGCGCCTAATGGTTGATATGAGTGTTTCTTGAACAATCATCTCATTACCATTGCCTGATTCAGATCAACTCATATTTCAAGGCTGTTGGCTGCTACGTCCTCCGTTTGTAGAGTACTTGTATCCAGGATAAAGCCGTTTGTGATCGGCGCCTTCCTGATCGGCCAGTCGATGCCAGTAAGCCTGAGTCTCGGGAGTCTCACGGTTCCACATAGTAGAAATAATCCTGGCTATATTTCATATCAGCGCAGTACTTTCTTATGGCAGATACTACTTACAGAGCTCTCCCGCTGTGAGTCCTTCGTGCTCGGCGATGATTTGTTGTGACTTGGCTTGGCGGTATAGCATCCAACTGTTTCTGGGACGCGGAATCCGTTGCCCACCCTCACCAACAGTCGGGTCTTCTTCAGAAACCGTCACTGGAGTAGATCGATCTTTCCACCTGTCAAAATTATACCTCCTGAATTGGTATGAGGTAACATACCACGAGTGAAACAGTATCTCCCGTAAGTTGAGGTGTTGGCAAAAATGTCCTTTGGAACTGGGCAAAGTCGATACTTCTTTCGGGCCTCATCGTGAAACACCTTCACAGGTTGTTGGACACGGCGGCTGCAACGGTTAGCTTGGTTCATCTTTTTTGAGACAGTAAGTTACCTCAAATTGTCTGCAACACGATTCACGAGTGTCATTGATGCAGTTTCGGGGACGAAAACGTGGATATCAGCTTGCGACCGACTGTAGACCATGGTGATTGGGACCTCGGCTTCAGGGGGCATGAAAACTCCCAAAGGACCCTGGAGAAGACCCCTTTGTGGGTTTCGAGACATCTTGGTAAATTTTGCCGTGTTCTAGAGCTTGCTTATGTGTTTGAACTTTTCAAGCAGTGGTTGGGAGTTGGATTGCGGAGTGTATACAGGAAGACTTTCGAGAGCAGGCTTGGTAGCGTGATGAACAATGGGGGGAGGCGGTTCAGTTGTAACTGGAGTTAAACAATATCAAAATCAAGCCTAATGTTTGGCCCGTTACATGAACAATACCTTGTTGCCTAGGCACCCGCCTGCAGTGAGTTGGATTTAATTTCTGTTTGTTTGTTACGTAACTTGGTGTCCTCGACGGTGAATGATTCACTGGTTCACTGTCACCTGGCGACAGTGTCTGAGGCTATTCTCCCTGAAAATTTTGGTCTAAATATTCCGTCCGTTAGGTTCCTGGCAACCTGAGTAGTTTTCCTGCCAACTGGCCTAGTTCTTTCACCATACGTCTGCGACCATGGATACTTCTTTCAGCTTCAACCCTCTGTGGGAGGAGAAAGCAATCATCTACAAGCCTGAGGTAGCTCTCCGTGCTCTGGATGACAAGATCTACGGCATCATCCTGAAGTCTGGTCTCTTGCCCAAGAGCGGCGAGGTCTTCCTCACACCCGGTAAGCTGTATTTTGCAGTCAATCTTGAATATCTGCTGATAGGCCCCTAGAGGTCTTGCGCATAGTCTCCGCCGTTGCGAAACACATGCTACTGAACCTTGGTATCGACAACGAGGTTCTTAGCAAGATCCGGACCACTGCTGTCAAATTAGTCCCAGGTCGCAGCACGTTCTATCTCATCGATGCGTGCCTTGTGTCTTGGTATGTTCAGGCTGTGGATGTCATCTTCGCTCATAACGAAGCCCGCCGCTTCGTTTCCAGACCCAACATGCCATCTGCTTGGATCGGGGGCTATACCAACGAACGCCCTATGGCCAACCTGGGCTTTATGAGCATGCTTGCAGGAACCCGGGATGTGAGCATGCCTGAGCATCCTAAGCTTCGTGCAGCCGCCCTCGTGTCGAAGGCCACAGTATCGGTTCTATACACTGCTTATACTATTGGGCCTCATCTCAAAGACTTCCCTTGGGACAGACTCGAACGTATGCCGGTCCTTCCAGCCGTTGATCTTTATCTCAAGGTCTTCATCTCCAGTTGCGGCAGCATCTACAGTAACAAGCCAGCCATCGCACCTCCCCCTGCTTTTGAGTACAGTGTTACTCAAGACGATGTCAAGATATCCAAATGTGGCAGCAAGCTCATGATCAAGACACACGGAGATGAGACCTGGCACGCAGCTCCCAAATGGCACCCCTACATCAAGCTTCCCGGGTCCCCATGGAACAACTTTATCAGAAACCGCAAACAAGCCATCTTTTTGGAAGACTCAGGCTATTCCAACTATTGTGAATCCGAGTCGGCAGATTCTGGGTCCGAGTCAGGGTCTCCTTCTGGGTTCGCACCCGAGCCCGAGAAGGCCGAGTCGGAGCATTCTAAGTCGGACGAAGTAACCATCAAGTACAAGCTTCCGAGCTCAGTCCTTACCATCTTCCGAGAATTCGAGGATAAATATTCCACCGCCAGGGAAGAGTTGGACTTGGTAAGAATACTGAGCACATATTCTTGAAGCAGAGCTAACGGTATTTAGAACCACCCACGCAGTCGACGTGTTCTTTCGGAGCGCGCAACCATCCGTCAGTACAACCGGTTCGCTCGTCTTTCAGGTCGTACCTATGCGAAGGAGTGCCCGGATGATGCTGTATGTGACGTTCTTCCTCATATTACTCCAATAGCTAACCCAACCAGTCTGCTGTTTATCTGACTGATGTCAACGAGGATTTTCTGTATTATTCTCCTGTGGTAAGTGATCTGCTGGTTAAAGTCCTCGGTTTCGTTCTCAGATTCTAATTTTATGTGTATCAGATCCAAAAACCTCGTGCAGATGCAGCTGGAAATCTTGGTCTCCCTTTCATGTCCACTGCAGTTCACTCTGTGGGGGTTCACGATGACCCTGAGGAGCCTGACGATGGTTTCTTCATTATGACTTACAAGCAATAGTCGTCTAGTACTTGGGAATGGGTTGTAAGGGTAGCTCTATAAGCCGTATTCATGTATATACCTATGTAGGCAGCAGTGGGCTCTGATTACTTTACACCAAATCAACCTTAGTGATGCTGTTTTCTACACTTCTGCAGAATAATACTATTCTACCTTGCTATCTACCTCGCTACATTATGGTCTTACCCAGTCAAGACCACTTATGGTCTCTAGCAGTTCCCGCCAGTGTAAAGCGGCGTGTTAGGTTGTTGGCCATTTCGAATCGCGCTAGGCAGTGCCTCGCAACTTTCAAATTGCTTGCCACTTTTTGGCACTGCCAGCCAGCAGTTAATGTACCCCACACGGCTGTTTGTTGCCAAGGAATTTGCTTACACTCCTTTGCTCTACACGCCACTCCAATCTCTCATCCACCCCCTTCCCTCCCACACTCAGTAAAGCCCACCCACCAACTTCTCATATCTTGGGCTTTAAATTCGTCTCTTTCTCTTGCCCTTACCACGGGTTTTTTCCTTCGTCAAATTCAAGGAAACTCTTGCCTCGCACCCCTTCGCATTTCGACATGAGCGACTACAAGAACCAACTCCTCCAGGCCATCCAGAACTGTTCTCAGGAACGCCTGGACGCCGCTATGGAGAATCCCTCCATGATGAGAGAAATTCTCGACGTTTGTGGTCCTGAGCTCGCCGCTTCCCTCGCTGCCTCCATCGGGGATCCGGGTCAGCGCGCCAAGCGCCCTCTGAATGGCTTCATGGCCTTTCGAAGTAAGTTAACATACAGTCTGATTCCCAAAAACATACTCACCATGTCAAGCCTACTACATGAAGCTGTTTCCCGACGCTCAGCAGAAGAATGCTTCCGGCTTTTTGACTCAGCTCTGGGCCAAGGACCCTCATCGAAACAAATGGGCCCTGATTGCCAAGGTCTACTCCTTCATTCGAGACCATGTCGGCAAGGCCAAATGCAACTTGACTGCGTTTCTCAGCGTTGCATGCCCCATGATGAAGATCTTGGAGCCTGTCGAATACTTTCAGACTCTCGGCTGGCAGATCAATCGTGACAACTATGGTGACATGGTCCTCAGCCAGGATGTCACTATTATGTCGGAGAACATGGGATTGATCCAGGACCTTGAGCACCCCACCACCGAGATCGATCTGCTTACAGATGTTCTTGTCGCTGGCTACTTTCCTGAGTATTCCCAGCACCTGCAAGTTCTGATGTGGACTTCTCAGAGCGGTATCATGACCCCTGCTGGTACTTTCGCTGGCGACGCTGTCGATGGTGTCGGGGAGCAGCTCTACGATCCTGTCCCAGCCACCACTGAGAAGGCTGAGTTCGTCGAATTGGTCCACAACAATGCCTGTGCGGCTGTTCAAGATCTTTTCGGCCCTGAGTACGATGCCGAGTTCTTCCAGAGCCGATTTGTTCACTCTTGGGAAGTGGATGATCTCGATAGCTTTCAGGATGTCCAGATTTCCATCGCTGATGAGCCCATGCCTTCGAACACTCTCTACGACTTCAACCAACTCCCTGGAAACATTCCTCAGGTTCGCGAGCTTAACATCGACACCTCTTTGGATGCTGGTATCATGGACATCACCAGTGCTTGGTCTGTCGACAAGGCCATGTTTGATCGAGTAAACCGAGAGCGCCAGGGTAAGTCTCAACAACATTTCAAAAAGACTTGAGCGTGATCTAACACTACAGCAGCACACGAGGATTCCAATAAGGTCATCGGTGGTGGCTTCCTCGCCAACTTTTAATCTTGGGATCCATGATCGATCATGATTCGGCACAACAAGGCAGGTGGTCGGGTGGGAATGAACTATTTGCGATGATACCCAGTTGTCGAGGGCACTCGCATCAGGCTGGCGAGGTCTACGTTGATGATTTCGGTTTACTGTAAAGTAGTATAATGAAATAATACACACACTTCATTAGTCTTTGCTGCAGTCTTCATGTCCGAGGTCCAAATTGTGTTTAGCACGGCGCATTCTCCAGTGGGGCAGAACGGAGTGTTTTGACAGCTAGGGGCGTGGGACACTAGTCACTTGGCGATCGTCAGGATCTGAGGACATGGATGTTGATGAACCTGTTAGCCTGGCCCTGTCATTGGCCCACTGTGACACTACCGTGATTTAACCGGCCTGATTTCACTTACCAAGGTATGTACTTTTATGTTTCTGCTTTGAGCTACACATGGGCTAGACTACCTACGAGTGCATATGCTGATAGGCTCATGAACCTTAACCTAGACGTTCCAGACACCACCATAATGTTGCAGCAGGCACACATGTTTGATCAAATTCTGTCGTCCCTTGCGCTCAAACGCACTCCACTCTAAAACCTTCTTCTACGGGCAGCTGACTTTTTTTCTTTTTACTGGCGCTGGCAGTTGAACACCGGTGCAGCCGTTTCCTTCTTGTCGCCCGGCAACTAACTGACCGCTACGTAGAAGTAGGTAAACACCAAGGTGCATTGCTCGTGAGCCTACAAAGAACAGAAAAGTACGTACTTGGCAGCCCGATTTCCTGTGAGCACAGACCGATGAGCAGATCCCTACTAGTCTAACCTGTTACGGCAAGGTGGATCAGTTCGTGGAGGAACAAGCAAGTCCAGACAGACCCCTACAAACAAATGTGACAGAAATGGTCCAGCACAGGGTTTCTGTGCATGGGGCACTCAGGTATGAGTATGCATGTCAAAGACCCGATACCAGCAAGTTGCTCAGCTGATGGCTTGAGTGTACAGCATCTAACAAATGTCTTGAATGTGGCATCAATACACATCTATTTCATATGTTAGTTACACTGGTATCCTCATCAATTCCGTTTTCTCACAAAGTCCATAGGAATTGAGAGTTTGGACGCTACGTCAATCGTCACCAGTTCTCCAGGCTCGCCATCATCGCCCACTTGAGTGGCGTTCCTGGTCCGTAGTCCCTCCTCAGCCCTACTCTCCAACATCCAAGAGGTCTAAGACGGAAATAGCATGGATGTGTGAAAGGGTTGCATCAAGTAACTCGACGCACCAGGGACCGGGCTAACAGACATAGTTGGGCCTTGTGGCCTTGGCATGTTTGCTACCCATGTCTCAGTGGCCAGACTACCTGGTACGGGCTTGACCAACCAGGCTTTCTATCAAGACACATTTCACCTGCCTTCTTTGAGAAGGGCAAGCTTGCCAAGGTATGGATGAACCATAGGCCTTCGGTCTCTGGTCTCCCTGAGTAAGGGGCTAACCATCCCGAAGGCTTGCTTTAGAGCATGTCTTGGCCCCGCATGTACAGTACTGCACAGTACAGCATTGCGATCCCGTCGTCTAGTGAGCGTTATGGCCTACCTCGCGGTGGTCGCTCTACCACTTCAGAAGCGTTCGTCATCTTGAAACCACCAGCCATCGTCTGTTTCGTTGCATCTGCGCGAGCGCGAGTTCCCTTCATACAGCCGACGTCAGCCACCAACGCTAAGACTGATGCTCTACCGGACATGGCTTGTCTACATGGGTCAGGAACGTAGAACATGGCTGGCGCTGTCTACGTCGTCTGCATGGAAAAAGAAACGAGACAGAAATACAATTTGACAGTTCCGGCTACATCGAAGGGTCGCAGAGCCGGACACAACCATCATCCAGCTCAAGGCGTCATCAGACTCAGATTCTCGATGGAAGTCAACGCTTCGGATGCTATGTGCATACAAAGATTTCAGGTTTCAATTCCAGCAATTGAGGGAATAAAGGAGTCCAGGTATGTACGGAAGATCCAAGAATTCGGAAAGCGTTTAACCTACTGGCCTATCCCATTCCTGTCTAGCATGTCACTATTCCCCGCCATGGTCTCAGACCGGACACTTTTCTTTAAGCTGTCAGATTTAGACTTCCGGCACTGTACGAACGATTTACGGTTACGGTTACGGTTACGGGCAGTCCGTCTCTGAGCTTATTGCTACTGTAATTCAGTAGCTCGCGTTACTACTCGCGTCGCGAAAGAAAGCGTTATATTCCTTTGCCAAGTCCCATACGAAACATCTTGTCAACTTTATGTCAACACTCTGCAAGGGCTGAACTTTGTCTCTGCGTTTGCGTTTCATTCTTTCTTCCAGACTGTAAGGGGTTCTTTTAATTGGTTCTTGGGTGAGGCCAAGAACGGCACTGAGGTTTAATTACACTACAGCTAGATGACGGATGATATACATGGCATTCACTCTGCGTTCAGTCCCTTGGTACTCGAACACTCCCTTTTGTAGAAACATCATAGATTCCACTTCATAGTAAAGGAATTGGCGATAATTGGTAAAGGATACAGAACTTCGTCAGATTATGCAAGAATCCCTGCGATTAAATGTCTTAATTGAAACATCTACCTCAAGATGATAAGGCCAGCCCGGAACACTCTTGGCCCCGAATACCACGAATACCTGTCAGCAAGCCCATATTCACACCCTTACTCTTCCTGGTAAGAGATCTTCCGCATCTCGCCCAAACGATGACGAGCCGATGCCAAGGCGTTCTCCAATTGGAGGATCTCGACCTATTTTTTTGGTGGCTTGTCAGTCACTGATCTAACACGAGAAGCTAATCGGAACTTTGCCGGATATAGAAACCGTTGTGCTCGCACAGGTCCGGGAATGGCCTTGAGAGTGGGAAGGGGACAGGGGAATCGGAGATAGGAGTGGGGCGTGGGGCGTGGTATGAGACATGAGAGCGAAAAATGTTGGCAAACAAATGACAGGAAACTGTTTCTAAACTTACTTGCTGTTCCATTTCCCGCACCTTGAACTCGTGCGCGCCAAGCTTGGTGTAGTCTACCTGGTCGTCCTCTTGGCTGCGCTCCTTGATCAGGCTCTGGACCTGGCGCACCAATGCTCGACAAGCGGCACCCACGGCCTTGCTGGCTTGCTCGAGCTTTTCTTGGCTCTTAGACATGAACCCTGCCTTGACTCTGCTTGCAGCCACGAGCTGGGCAGTCGAGGCAGCCACATCGTTCGAGGCCACGATGAGCTGCTCTGGACTGTTGCGGCCAGAAATGACACCGTCTGCTGTCTCAATCAGAGTGTTGGTCGACGACGCCACAGCCTTGGCGGCAGAAATGAGACCCTCCGTCCATCGGTTGTTCTTCTTGTAGAACGCTGTCCTGGACGTCGATCCACGTCCAGCCTGGACGATCTCCTGCTGTGTCACAGTGGCCGCTTGGATCAGTTGCGTAATGGCGTTGGTGATCGCCGTGGCCGCATCCAGGATCGAATCGTTTACCTTGAGCTCATAGGTTGAGTAGCCATCACGAGGCTTGTTCCTGAGCTTGGCCAGTCGTGCAGCGGCAGCCGCGATGGCATCCGCAGCCTTGCTGAGTTCTGAATCGACCAGATCGCCCAAGTCTCCCTTCTTATTAGCCAGCTGACCGAAGCCTGGAGCGAACGTCTCAACCAGCTTGTTGAGTTTCTGCAGGTTCATCTGGACATCGTTATTGTTGTTGATGACCACATCGGTCTTCTGCAAGGGGTCCATGCCTTCCAGTCGGAAGCTCTGGAGGCCTCGTAGGAACTGAACCGCTGATATAGCAGGCTGTCGGGTTCCGTTCATAAGCGAGTCAGTCTTCTTGTCGTCCGTGGCCAAACGGGTGAGACCCTTGGTGTTGCTGCACACGTCGGCAATTGCACCAGAGAAAACGTTGATGGCTTTGATGAGGTCAGAGTGTGTCGCATTGGGACCATCCGCGATGAAGTTGTTAAAGGACGTAGCAAACTCCATAGCACTGGCTGATGCCTTCTCGATCTGTGACAGTACGTAAGAGGGAGATGCATTTTGGTTACCAGCTTGCATGTTGGAATCCAACTCATACAAAGCATCATCCACACGCGCAACACCAGCCTGAAGAACCGAGTCAATAATATCATTGATCTTGTCGAGGTTCGACATGATAAGAGCATCAATTTGTCCATCAAGAGCATTGTCGTTATCGCCCTGGTTCATCTTGAGTTCGTTGAGCTCAATGAGTGTCTGGTCCATGCCGGCCTTGTACACCTCAAGCTCCTCCTCCTTGTCTCGGAGAAGCTGCTCGAGATCAGAGCTACCATCTCGGACGTTCATCTGAGCATCCTCTAGCTGACGCGACTTGTTACGCAGCGCCTCCTCGAGGTCTGCCATCTCACGGTTGTACTTGGCAAGCATTGTTGACAGCTCGTTGCCCTTGCTGCGCTCAAGGTTGTCGGCCTTGTCTTGGGCGAGACGAAGCTCACGCTTGAGCTTCTCGACCTCATCCTTGCTGCTGCCACTCGCGCGGTCCTTGTCGTGAAGAGCACGGTCACGCTCACGGATCATGTCGGCTAACTCGAGGTTCTTCGTCTTGATCTCACGCTCGAGCTTCTCACGTCGGTCGATAGCCTCCTGTGCGCTGGCTGCCTTAAGCTGAACCGCCTTGAATTTCTGTAGAAGATCAAGATGCTCGTGCCGCAATTGAGAGTAAAGTTTCGCCAACGCCTCGTATTTCGTCCTCCATGTGTTAACTTGCTCCTGGAGAGCTCGGATCTGATCATCCTTGCTATTCATCTGCTGGCCAAGACTATTTTGGATATGTGATAGCTCACCCTCCAAAGCCTTGACTCGCTGGTCGTATTGTTGTAGCATTAACTGGTCACGCTCATACTGAGCCCGTGCGTTGAGGTTTTCGCGCTCCAGCTCCGCAAGGCGCCCCTGGGTTTGCCATTGAGCCTGCTGTGCCATAAGCGCCTCTTGCTCTCGCTGCTGTTGCTCCATAAGCTGCTGTTGCTGTTGCTCAAACTCACGCTGCGCTTGCATCTGTGCCTGCTGTTGCGCCATGAGTGCTTGCTGTTGTTGCTGCTCAAGAATGCGCTGCTGCTCTTCGTACTCTCGATTCTGGCGATCCAACTCGCTCTTCCAAAACTCATTCATCTCATCGGGAGCGTCATTCTTAGGCTCCGGTAGAGGAGATGGCTTGCGCTCGATTTCCTGCTTCGGTCGCGCAGGAAGGGCAGGAGCGTCATCATCTTCAGCCAAGAGGTTTGGAGGGTCTTGAGGAAGCTTGGGTATGGTGATGAGACTGGTAAGGTATCGGAGGTTTGAGCACTCGTAGTAGAACTTGACCAAGCGATAATGTTGTGCGTTGTAACGTTCACGAAGGGGTTCAAGAGCTTCGTCATCACCGGTAGCTAAAAGGATGTTAACCCTAAGAATCATAAAGCGGAAGGTAAGTGAATCACTGACTCGAATGCATTGCGCGAAGCATGCTCGTGATGAATTTGTAAATTCCATAACTCTCCTGCACAAGGGGCACGAGAGCCGCAATGCGACACTCGTTGTTTCCCACATTCCGGAAGTGAGAGAAGATCAACTTTTGGAACTGCTCGATCTTGTCTTGCAGCACCATCAGGTCGCTGATGGTCTCGTAACCTTCGTTGGGGTCGTTGATAGCCTTAAGACTCAGGTACTCCTCATACTCGAATGTTCCGTTGAACTCGGGGTGCTGGTGGTGAAATGAGAGCTTCGCAAGGAGGTAATAAACGTATTCACGGATCAGAGGCGCGTAGCCGCGCATGCCTTCACCTCCCCCGCCCATGCCGCGGTTCAAGCTATCGATCCAGGCGCGGTTCGCCATGGCTTCCTTCAGGGCGCTAGGGTGACCTTCTTGGAGCACCTTGTGGATTGTAATGAGAGCCTTGAATGTCTGGACTTCGTCGGCGAGGATCGGTTGACTGTTGGGACGCTCGATCAGTGAAAGTTGACATGATAGAATGCGTGTAAGACATACACCTTGATGCCGGACCAGAAGGCGGCAGAGGACCTGTGGTCCCATGTGTAGACAATGCATGCGCGAACATGCTTGCGCTTCGGGGAAATCTCTTCGGCGTTTGTAGCTTTCTTGATGTTGATGGCGAGCTCTTGGTCAGACCTGCGCAAGATGATGGAGTCAGCTTGGTGTTTCCAGAGCGAGCACTGCAATGTGTCACTGACTTGGTATGCTCAGTACCGCGCACAGCAGCAGACATGTTTGCAATTGGTTGCGGACAAGCTCCGCGATGCTATTAATATATATGAGGTTAAGACGTTGGTATAGGTAGACTTCGTCGCGAGCTTCAAAAGGTATGTGCTGTTGGAACCCCTGGAAATCACGAGACAATTTCCCCGTCGACCCAACGCCGCGCAAGCTAAATGAATTAGGCAGAGGGTAAATGGTCGACAATCGGTAGAAGTAGAGTAGGATTTGGACGGTGATTGTTTAGCAGACCCTTCTATAGGGCAAGAATTTGAGGTCGTCGTCAGCCTTGACAAGTTCGGGCGACTGTTGGGCGTCTTGGCTACAATTCGATGCTGTAGCTTTCGTGGCTGGGTCGTAGCCATGGAAGAGGCCTGGACAGCGTCATATGGGGTACGTATTCTTGTTTTGTGGGGCACCGCAGATTCCATGAAGATGAGTCCTAAAGAAGTTATCTGCGGAACCGAGGTATATTTAAATGAGTTGTATAAACGACAGTAACAAGGTCAAAATAAAGATATAATCATTCCTTCATCAATATTGAGCTTCAAATGGTTGCTTTCCCTTAAAAGCCCAAAGACTGTTTACACGGTGCTGATAGGACATCTACAAAGACAATTATGTAGACAGAGTGCAGTTATCCATCGCTTCAACATGTAGTATAACCCCTGAATAGCTATCAGCAGGTCTCAAGAGAAATAGTAGCGAGGATTACTGACTGCACAATGTCAAATACACTGTTTACTTAATTTAGGCTAAGAAATACTAGATAGAGTGTTAATAAAACAGCAAAGACTTTATGAATCCAAATGGTAAAACAAACTAATGCATGATACATTTTTCCATATCTCAGGCTTGTATTTAATACCTTAAGTGGGACTTTACTGATAATCATCCAGGAGTTATATTGTAATTACATGAAGATCGGCGTTTCGACAAATGCAACGAAGAAATTACATATAAATGGGACATACCATGTAAGCATGCTATGTGAACGGATGAAGGGCGAAGTTAGTATCAGGCTTTTGAAATCACGTACAGCCACTGAGATTTACTTATCCATATGGTATAGTCGAAGCCAAAAGACAATGCTTACGGTGTTCTCAGCATTCAGAATACCGTGAGGTCAATGAATTACTGGCACTGACAAGTTAAGCTACACTTCACATGCTAAAAGGGATAATGATTTGCAACGCATCTTAGGACAAATTCAGATCATGTCGTCTTCATGATTATTTCAATTGATGAGATATAAGCAGTAATGATCAATATTTTGGTCTTGTTGTGGATGTTACAGAATTAGATCGGTCTATGTATAGGGTAGGTAATTATCGCTAGATATGATAATAAATCGAAATAAACACCGGAATCTTGATAATAATGGCATAAATAATACGAAATTCGAGTTATTGAAGACCAGAACTGATGCTTCATTTATGTCGACTCGGTGTGCTGTGTTTCAATTCTTCATTGTCGTTCGACCCACCTAGTTGTGACGATACATGTCTACCACACAATGCTGGACACTGATCGTCCTGGACTGATGAGATGCTGCGTAGTGTTCAATTGTATAATTCGACAGAAATCATGGCGGATGTCCGATCAAATACTAGGCCATCAGCAATAAAAACGTTCACATGAAACTTTAAGACTTTGCTTGATGCAGGGACTACAGGACAGCATATTGGAAGGACATTGGGAGAAGCGTCAGTTCATTTTACGCCAAGTCATCACCGGGCCTTCTATATGGGCCGGTCACATTCACCAGAGGTATCTTCTAATACAGAGAAGGGGCATGCTTCAAACGATGTCTTTTTTTTTGGTTCTATGCCGTACAGACATCAAAAGGCAAGCCCTTGCCATGCAGAATTCTTTCCCATCCGGACGCAATACCCCAAATAAATAGAAGCAAGCACCACCAACCCCCGCAATATCTTTTCTTTTAGATCGTGGTCTCGTAGGCAAGAGGGGTAACGGTCATGGGGGGGTTCTCGGAGAGCGACAGTGTGTGGGCGCCACGGGGTCCCAGGGGCTGACGCTTGACCTGGACGACGGTGCCGTTGGCCTTGGCCTCACGCTTGGCCTCAGCGTTAGCCTTGACACGCTTGAGGAAGTCCTCACGAGATCGGGACTGCGAGATGTGCTCGATTCGGACGTTGATTCGCTTCTCGATGTATCGGTGCTTGACCTGCTTGTAGATGATGACACCGACAGCGGACTTGGTGACGTTGTAGATGACACCAGTCTTTCCGTGGTAGACCTTGAAGGGCATACTGAAATTCTGTTAGCCCTCCTGCTACATTTTCCACAAGATTCCCCAAAAAGCGTCCAAGTTCCGCAATTTCGCGTAGGATTTGTCGCATGTTGGTAAAAAGGGCGTTGCTTACCCCTTCTGGACGGCACCGTTCGCCTTAATGTCGACGATATCTCCAACGCGGTATTGTCGGAGGTAGGTGTTCAGGGCAATCATACCCTTCTGGCGGAAGTCCCGGCTGAAGGCATACTATAATTTCACATCGTCAGTCTCATGCCCGACGTCGTCGAAATTCGCAATTCGCTGGTTGAACATACGCGGGTGCCCGCTCTCTTTCCGTATGAGTGACCCATCTCGAATCGTGTGATCTGCCGGTCGCGGGAGGGTTGGGGTTAGTAGTCGTGGGTTGGCGAAAGAGATGGTGAAGTCCGTCGCTTTGGTGTTCTGGATTTCTGGAGCGGCCTTGTGGGACGGCACCTCAGATTTTCCGAAGTTTTTTTTTCTCAGTAGGGCAAGGGCGATTGTGGGTTGGGACCCACTCGCACCTTCCGAAAAACTTAGGGTTCAGTCAAGCACACGTGATCACGAATTGCCCGCCAAATTCCTTCGCACATTTTGCTTGCCAGTTGGCTCTCGTGAAAGTTCATCTCCCGCAGAACCACCAAGGAGCAAGTCAAGTAAGTGCTGCCAGAGAATATCACCAAGTTCTTCAATTAACAAAGACTTCAGGATGCCTCCCCGCGCCCACTCCAAGACCTCTCGTGTCCCCCGCCGACCCTTCGAGTCTGCCCGACTGTCAGTATCACCGGCCACTGAACATGAGCTTGACTCTGTTTAAGTCGATTGTGAATTAAGACTGACCGATAATAATAGTGACTCCGAGCTTAAGCTCGTTGGCGAGTATGGCCTGCGCAATAAGCGTGAGGTCTGGCGAGTCGGTCTGACTCTGTCCAAGATCCGTCGTGCTGCCCGGTATGAGAACCTTTGCACTTTCAGTGTGCGCCAATCCAAGATTTTCTAACACACCAAACAGTCAGCTCCTTACCCTCGACGAGAAGGACCCCAAGCGTCTCTTCGAAGGCAATGCCCTCATTCGACGTCTCGTCCGTGTTGGTGTTCTCGACGAGTCCCGCATGAAGCTGGATTACGTCCTGGCCCTCAAGATCGAGGATTTCCTTGAGCGTCGTCTCCAGACCTGTGTCTGGAAGCTCGGTCTCGCCAAGTCTATCCACCACGCCCGTGTCCTGATCCGCCAGCGTCACATCCGAGTCGGAAAGCAGATCGTCAACGTTCCTTCTTTCATCGTCCGTCTCGACTCCCAGAAGCATATCGACTTCGCTCTTACCTCGCCCTTCGGTGGTGGCCGTCCCGGCCGTGTCCGCAGAAAGAAGGCCAAGGCCGCCGAGGGCGGTGAGGGTGGCGAGGATGAGGAGGACGAGGAGTAAATGCAACTAAAAAATGCAAAAGCGGCTCTCCCTGTCTAGGGCACTTGGTGATGGGATACCACTCATGGGAAGGGGATTCTCTTCATAGCTTGCGGCGTTGGCCAGAGGATAAAAATGGAATGATTTCACCGGATAACGACAAACAAAACTTTCCCGGTGTCTCTCCACTGTGTATATGAATCCCATGAAACATGAATCCAATCATGACATCTACCCACTACGCTTGCTTATCGTGAATGTAACAATGCCATCTGCGCCGCTGTAATACCCGGACGTATCTAGTTGGCGACAGAAAAGTTGACCTCTAAACTTCAGGGTACAAAAAAACAAACAGCTTAACAAGTCTGGTCCGAGTAACATAAACCAATCTACTAATTTCGTCTCCTTTGCTCTCAGTGGCCGATTTTTCTGGTACCCTGATGGTATGTGGTATTAATTATAATAATTCCTAGTGAACGCCTGGCTATGTCAAAAGCTCATCTGTGCCCAGCATCTTGGCCATGGGATCATCTGTCGCTCGTCTCTTTTTCCTAAACTCTTCCATCTCCTCTTCTGTCACCCCATTCATCATTTCTTCTCTTGTACGTTTTTGCGGCTGCTCTTCTTTATCCTTTTGCTTATCCCCCTCAACTGCTTCTTCTGGCTCTTCTTCCTTGGCCTCGATCAGATTGGCTCCCGTGCGTTGACGTTCAGCGGCTTCCCATGCCATCTTGCCATCATCTCCAGTGCAGTAGCTGTTCTTGATGAATGAATGACAGCAAGCGTAGCCCCATTTGAAGTTGGACCACCAGCTACCCCATACGGAGGTGTGGTTGTTGATCATGACATCCTCAGCGTACTTTGACTTGGCCTCCTTCTTGGGTGCACCCTTGATCAAACCAGCTTCGTCGTATTCGACAAATGTCTCTGACTCAGTCACAGCCATATTTCGCAAAGCAGCTGGAATGGCCTTTTGATTTCCACCATACTTTTCGGCAAGTAGTTTCTCTCGCTCCGCACGCTTTGCCTCGGCCTCTTCCCTCTCCTTCTTCCGGTAGAACTCTCCTGCCGTTGGGTTGGCCTGTAAATGCTGGGTTGTGTCTCCGGATTTCTCTTGGGCCTCCCACGCGTAGCGCTGAGCGTTCTCGAAAGCGCCAGCATCGCCAGACGATCGCATGAAGCCCTCTTCCGCAAAGACATCAGCCGCCTTGTCGGCTGTCGCGCCGGCATCCACCAATGATCTCGTCTTTGGGTCGTATTTTGCAGATTCCAAGTCGAGATTCAGTAGGTATTTGGCCGTATCTTCTCGTATTCGCAGTTGTCGGGTAGCTGTGCTCTGATGCTTGCTCATGTCATTCTCTTCCGCGTACTTGTCGCCCTCGTCCGCTTCTTCATCACCAGCTTCTCCCTTGGTGGCTTGCTTGCGCAGCTCTTCCATCTGGTTGAACTCGTCCACTACGTTGCGATATTCCTTTGCATCATAGCCGTTCCAACGGTCACGTTTAGCATCCCAGCCCATATTGACGTCTTGAATCACCTCGTCGGCCTGGATATCTCTTCCTGTCCATTTTGCGCCCTTTGCGCGCGGCCGGCTTAGACAGTCTTTTTTCTTGTGTGTCATGGCGCCACAGTTCTCGCATGCGCCCTTTCGATACTTGGTGGACGCTGGACCGGCCTTCCTGCCGCGATCGTACCATTGAGACTTTTCATCTTTCTCCTCACGACGCTGGTGCTTGAGATAATCGTTGTCGTCGCCCTCATCGCCAGCGTAGAACGGTCGCTTACTGATGAAGGATGGGATGTAGATGTTCTCCTCCTTCGACGCGGCACCTGCACCGGTGCCAGATGGTGGCGGTTTCGGAGGAGGAGCAGGCATACTGGGAAATCGGCGAGGCTTTTGGCGGCTAAATTTGATTTAAAAGAGATAATGCGATCGATGACAGATGTAAAAGAAAGGCAAGCGGCAATACTTTCGTCGTTGTAGATCGCGGAACTCTGAGCGTAGACAATTGTGTTGATAAGAACTTATCATCACGTGATCGCGCGCGCCTGTAAATGGCCGACAGGGATAGCAAACGCGTTTCAATAAGATATTGCCAAAAGATCAAAGAACTGTGCTTACCTAAATTTGTTATCCCAGCAATGTTTGGTTATTCTGGTCCTTGAAAGTTAATCTTGAGCCCCTGATGGATCCGAACTCTGGAGAATATGGACTTGTTCCGGATCAGATTGAACTGTATCGACCACTATCAAGCGACAGCAACACAATACGACCCTCAGCTTCGCAACGATATACGCCCTTCCCAGATTTCCAAAGGTCCAAAAGTTCCTATAGTCCGCATTTTTGGAGCCACTGAAACGGGTCAGAAAGTATGCGCTCATATTCATGGCGCGTTCCCATATCTGTACGTGGAATACGAAGGAGGTTTATCTCCCGATGAAGGTTTGTTGAATGGTACTTATTAATCTATCGTTAAATCACTGACTTACTCTAGTCGGTGCTTACATCTATCGTCTTCATCTATCTATCGATCATGCGTTGGCTGTGAGCTACCGCAGAGATCAGAAGAACGATAATGCCAGGTTTGTGGCGAGGATTACCCTTGTCAAGGGCATTCCCTTCTATGGTTTTCATGTCGGTTATCGGTTCTTCTTGAAGATCTACATGTTCAACCCTGTTGTCATGACTCGGTTAGCAGATCTCCTTCACCAAGGTGTCATTATGAAGCACAAGTTCCAACCGTACGAAGCACATCTCCAATTCCTTCTTCAGTTCATGACGGACTTCAATTTGTATGGCTGTGACTATCTAGAGTCATCCAGTACAGGATTTCGGTCTCCAGTTCCTGAATATGACGAAGAAACGAATCCTTCACATATTTGGCACAGTGAATCTATCCCACATGAGGACATTACCGACGAAACTGCACTCCCTCGAAGTAGCCATTGCTCAGTTGAGGTTGATATATGTGTTCAAGATATACTCAACAGACATCGAGTCAAAGAAAGACCACTTCATCATGACTTTACCGAGCGAGCTAACCCCCTTCCCTCAGATATGAAGCTCGTTTACAGCATGGCTGGTCTATGGAAAGATGAGACCAAGCGACGCAAACAAAAAATGCAAGACCCCAGTGAAGGAAGCAGTCCGTTTCCGCCAGAGGTTCTTGTATCTATGTCGGCCAATCCGCGTGACTCACAGCCTCAAGGTTGGATTCATGAGGACGAGCACCGAATTGAGATTCAGAATCTCATTTCAAGGGAGAATGTTTCGATTGATGGAGACGAGCTTACTTTTGAGACCTTTGCAAAGCCTCATCCCTATGAAGAGAATGTCAGCACTGCATTGGAGTCGGTTGAGGACCTTTTCCCGGCCAAACTTGCACTCGCTTTGGGACTTCCCTCAGGTGTGCAACCCGACCAGGATCCGGAGAGTAGCATTCTTGTTGATGAGGGAAAAGTCCGCCAAGTCAGAGAGGCTCACGATGACTTTCTGCCCGATGATTCAGACGAAGAAGCCATCATGACATTGGTGGCGATGGAGAAAGCTGCAGCAGAAGGTTCCCGTAATTCTACAAGTAATCTACCAGAAGAAGACCTGGAACAGGCCGTAGCGCTCGATATCGGCCTCGGCAGACTAGGTCTGAGGCCGTTCTGGTCATTAATCCTTGGTGTTGGTCGAAGTGGCCTGGCCTCAGGCAAGTTGCCTAGCATTCCCTTGGGCCCGGATCTATTTGATTACGCAGAGGATTACGGCCTGGTCGGACGTGCATTTGACGCACCAAAATATACCTCGTCCAGTCCAACACAACTCAAACGGCCGTTGCCCGACCTCCTATCAATCCAAATGTCCAACAAAAGGCTTAGATTTGACGAGCAGCCAATGGCCGACGAGGACGAGATGGACTTGGTCCCTATCCCTTCAACAGACCTAAACAACTCACTCACATCTTCTTTCAGGGGGGCATCCATTCTAAAAGACCCTACTGGTATCAGCAAGAGCATTGTCTCCAAAGGTGCTGCAGGGTCAAACCAAAAACTGAACTTCCCTACTGTTAAAGACCAGAACGATCCCAATACGAAGCTCCGTCTTAGTCAACTGAGCCAAAACTCGGCTTCGCAACAAACCGATGGAGGCCGACACGCCAAACATGTCTCCTTTGATCCCAGCAGCTTTCTACCTGCTGAGGCAGGACCCTCGCAAATGACTTTGTCGTCGTCCTTGGTATCATCTGGGGGAGACGAAGCAGAGAACGATAGCCAGCATTCTAAAATCCAGCGAGCTATGCGCAGGTTCGCCAGTCCGCAGGTGCATTTATTTTCTTCACTGCCCCCCTCTGCGGCTTCTATGGTTTCCTCTCTAAAGGAACACATGCTCCCTGATGTCCTCTATCAAGATGCATATTACAGTAAGGAGAAGGATGTCCCTGGCCGAACGCGTGAGTACGCTGGGAAAGAGTTTCGCTTAGAAGGCAACACTTTGCCATTTCTTCCCGAATTTGACCCAACTGCTACATCACCAGCCACCTACGGTCTAAAATATGAATCTCTTGATAGGGCCACCACTGAACTTCAGTATGAACGACAAGGAAAGGAGTGTTCTTGGAGGAGCTGGGAGTTTGCAAAACCCCCACCCACATATAAAGAGGTTGAGGATTGGGGGCTTGAACAGGAGCGCAAAGCCAATACGCCAGACGGATCCAGATTGCCGTTAACAAATAGACACTATCATTCTCAAATTGAAGGGCCGACGCCAAAGAATAACCACGGCTTCGAGTACATGCCAGGCAAGAAAGCGACAAGCGTTCAGCACGAGGTTCAATCCATGAGCACCATGAGCCTGGAGGTTCATGTGAACACGAGAGGCAATTTCGTGCCAAACCCAGAAGAAGACGAAGTCCAGTGTGTTTTCTGGGCAATCAAGTCTGACGAAACTTCCACCGACAGCCAGAACTTAGTAGGGACTGTCCAGACGGGGATGCTACTATTGTCTAATGATGTCGAGTTCACACAACGTGTTCAGCGCCAGACATCTGCCGATGTTATCGAGGAAACGTCTGAATTGGATCTTATGGTCCGCATGGTAGAAATCGTGAGAAATCACGATCCTGACATTCTGACAGGGTATGAGGTTCATGGCAGCTCATGGGGCTATCTGATTGAGAGAGCGCGATTGAAATATGACTATAATCTCTGTGACGAGTTTTCTCGCATGAAAACAGAGTCACATGGCAGATTCGGCAAAGAGAACGACCGATGGGGATTCAATACCACATCCACGATTCGAGTCACAGGTCGACACATGGTCAATGTCTGGCGTGCAATGCGAGGAGAGTTGAACCTTCTTCAATACACTATGGAAAACGTCGTGTGGCATCTGCTCCGTAGGCGGATACCCCATTACTCTTGGAAATCATTGACAAGTTGGTACAAAAGTGGCAAGCATCGAGAACTCAACAGGATGTTGAAATACTACCAGAACCGCACCAAACTCGATATTGAGATATTGGATGCCAACGAATTGATTGCCAGAACTAGTGAGCAGGCTCGACTCCTTGGTGTAGACTTCTTCTCGGTTTTCTCGCGAGGATCGCAGTTCAAGGTAGAATCGATCATGTTCAGGATTGCCAAGCCAGAGAATTTTCTTCTCGTGTCGCCTACTCGCAAACAAGTCGGCAGTCAGAACGCTCTCGAGTGTTTGCCACTTGTCATGGAACCACAGAGCGCCTTTTACAACAGCCCTCTCTTAGTCCTTGACTTTCAGAGTCTCTATCCAAGTGTCATGATCGCCTACAATTATTGCTATTCGACCTTCCTGGGCCGAGTCACTAATTGGAGAGGCACAAGCAAGATGGGCTTTACCGAGTATAAACGTCAGCAAGGTCTCCTCACACTTTTGAAGGATTACATCAACATCGCACCAAATGGTATGATGTATGCAAAGACGGAAATCCGCAAGTCACTCCTTGCCAAGATGCTAACCGAGATCCTCGAAACCCGAGTCATGGTTAAAAGTGGCATGAAGCAAGATAAAGATGACAAGACTCTCCAGCAGCTTCTCAACAACCGACAGCTTGCTCTCAAGTTGCTCGCCAACGTCACTTATGGTTACACTTCAGCCTCGTTCTCTGGCCGTATGCCTTGCTCGGAGATTGCGGACAGTATCGTACAAACTGGCAGGGAGACTCTTGAAAGAGCAATCGCTTATATCCATTCTGTCGAGAAATGGGGCGCAGAGGTTGTGTATGGCGATACTGATAGTCTGTTCATCTCCCTGAAAGGTCGAACGAAAGACGAAGCGTTCGACATTGGCAACGAAATCTCGAAGGCGATTACTGAGATGAACCCACGACCGATCAAACTCAAGTTCGAAAAAGTCTACCACCCCTGCGTCCTCCTCGCCAAGAAAAGATATGTCGGCTACAAGTACGAGAGCAAGGACCAAGTGAAGCCTGAGTTTGACGCTAAGGGAATTGAGACTGTCCGCCGTGATGGTACGCCTGCGGAACAAATGATTGAGGAAAAGGCTCTCCGTCTACTATTCGAGACGGCAGATCTCAGCCAGGTAAAGGAGTACTTCCAAAAGCAATGCCAAAAGATCATGCGCAACAATGTGTCGGTTCAGGACTTTTGTTTTGCGAAAGAAGTCCGTCTAGGCACATATTCTGACAAAGGTGCACCGCCTGCTGGTGCCCTCATCAGCACCAAGCGCATGCTTCAGGATGCTCGCGCAGAACCACAGTATGGCGAGAGAGTTCCTTACGTTGTCATAAGTGGTGCTCCAGGAGCTCGACTTATCGATCGATGTGTTGCCCCCGAAGAGCTTCTCGATAATCCACAATGGCAGCTGGATGCCGAGTACTACATCTCCAAGAATCTTATACCCCCTCTCGAACGCATCTTTAATCTCGTAGGTGCAAACGTGCGCCAGTGGTATGATGAGATGCCAAAGGTGCAGCGTGTTCACCATGCAACTACACTTAGCAACAAGAAGACGACGCTAGAATCGTACATGAAGTCCACACACTGTCTTGTCTGCAACATCAAATTCTCACAGGAAGACAATCCTCTCTGTCCAGTCTGTCGCACAAACATTCCCTTGGCGCTGTTTTCGCTCCAGACGCGATTAACTACCGAGGAGCGTCGTTTGCAGGAGATACTCTCCCTTTGTCGTAGTTGCTCTGGTGTTGGGCCTGTGGAGGATGTCCAGTGCGATAGCAAGGATTGTCCTGTATTTTGGACACGTATGAAACAAGTCAGCAAGACAAGAGGGATGCGGAATACCAGTCAGCCTGTGATTGAATCTCTGATAGAGGATGTTGACAAGTTATCGCTGGATTGGTAAAAACATAAAGGTTGGGCAAACAACTGTGTATTATTTTTGACTTCACGTCTGTTTTTTTATCTACATCGAGGCGAATTGAATAGTAAGCTTTGGGGGAAACTATAGACATATCACAAACTGTTGCACTTCTGAGGTATTAATTTTGAGCTTGCATCTTTTTTCAGATTGTTAGCGAGTCGCTACAGATAAACACATCACAGCTGGCAATAAAAGTAAGTGTCTGATAGGGGACGAGCCCACAAGATGATCGATAATGGGATCAATGTATCATTTTATGGCATACGCTGTTTTGTCAGGCACGCTTCTGCTGCCCACATTGTACTTGCAAGTCTTGCATCGATCTTTGCTAATAAACTTATCCCTCAACTCCTATCCCTGTGTGGTTTTAATCTTTCCTGTCTGCTCGTGATACTACGTCAGAATCAGACGTCTCTCCCAAAACGAAAACTCCTATTTTTCTCCTTCGCTTGATCATTTCATGGCCCAGACAGACTTCCTTCTGTGTGCCGGGTATTCAAACACAGTTCTCCCCCCATGCTTCGACTTGCATAAACAATTCCAAATGAACCTGCCTTCCTGTCGTAAGCTCGTAAACGCATTACTGTTTACCGCTGCTGCATCCATAATTTTGCAGAAACCCATGATCCCTAAATAACAAACGCAAAAGGTCTGGTAAACAGCCCCCGGTACTCCTATTCTATGTTTGTGCATCCTTTTTACCCCCTATTCCACAAATTGCATGTAAGCTCGCTTGCCATTAAACCTGGTTAGAAACCTAAACCAAGGTGAAGAGACAACTCGAAAAATCGACAGACGGATGCATCGTTGGCGTTGCATGTAAATCATAGCGTGCGTTCAAGACAGCTTCAAAAGCGTTCAGGGCGTAATTACTTCATCATCATGAGTGTGACACCGGCTGGGCGGCGTTGTAGAAGATGCGAGATCATCCTCTGTAGGTGTGGTAGTGGGTGGTCGTATGGGAGTACCCAATGACGGATCTGAAGGTCGAAGAGGTGTTGTCAAGGGCCGACCCCCTGCATCTATTCTGGCGCTGTCCTACATGACACCAAAAGGGGCGCCGAAATTGGACGTACTCTTCAATTTCAACGGAACATCAACCTCGATGGCCTTACCATCGGTTTCGCCATCGCTAGCATCTGCATCGTCTTGGACATCGGCAGATCCATCCCCTCCGATAGAGTCACTCTGCTTCAACCCATGTGCTGAAGGATTCAGCCCAGAGGGGCCGGCAGTGGGCTCCGGTTCCTGAGATTGCATAACAACCGGAAGAGCGTTCTGTCCTTGGCTAATGGGCTCCAGTTTCCTGTGTACTTCTTCCCAGAAGAGTTCGTCTTTAGCCGGCATATTCCTGAGCATGAGAGGGCCTTTAAGGGGTTTGTCGCCGTCACTGGGTTCCATCATGACATCCAGTGCATTGGGATCCAACTCTTCAGTAAATGATACAAACGACACTTTGGAGTCGCGCCTTTCGGTTGGTTCCGGCACAGGCAGAGTGTCATTTTTCTCCTCTTCTGCAATAGCAGCTGCTGTACCGAGATCGATAGTCGTTTCAACAGTTGGCGTGGCGCCCTCTCCAATGATGGATGCTGGGTCGGTCGGGTTGATTTTGGGGAAAACCGAAAGGGAATGGTTTGGGGTGTGGCCAGCGTGCATTGTGAGCCGGCGAGATTCTACAGCGGAAAGAGCTTGCAACGTATATTCCTTGGACGAGCCGCGAATGCTTGTCGGCTGTCTAGACTGCTCCAAACTTTGAGCAGCAGGTGCAGGAGGGGATGTCACCGGAGAGGCTGTATTTTCGGGAGGGGATGCGCCGGCGGCGAATGTGGACTTCTGGACCGCAGTGGCCTTAATCGGGATACCTTCCAGCTTAGGGTCGATTTCTTGCACATCTATGACTGGCACAGGCGTAGCCATGTCCTCTGTTGGGGACGGAAGAAAGTCCTTGGCTACCGGGTTTTGTGTCTGCATTCTGGGATCAAGAGGGACAAAAGGTGATGATTCGGGTTGTGTTGTGGGAGACACGCGAGCACTACTTGGTGAGAAATAGTGAGGTCGTCGAGACGCACCATCAAGGCCGGGTGGAAGAGATGACGCATCGGCCATGGAAACACCGACCGGGATGGTAGGATTTTGTGCCCTTGACACGAGTCGTCCTGGTGGAGCAGGGAAGTAGGAATTGTCCAAAGAGCCCTCACCGCTTCCACCACGCTGACTCGCCAGAGGCGAAACCACGCCTGTAACCTGGATGCTTTGGGCTGTGACAGCTTTGAGAGCACTGTTTTCTCCTTCAAGTCGATGAACTCGTTCCTTGAGTTCTTGGATTTCTCGAGCCATGCCTTCTTTCTCAGTCTCCCAGCTCTCCCGGACCTCGTCCATTATGATTCGCTCTTCTTGGTAAACCTCTTCGACACGTCGACGGTTGGCTTCGAGATGATTTCGCTCTGCTTCCCAAGCTTCACGAATTGATTGGTTTTGCTGCATGAGGCGTTGAACCACATGCAGCGAAGATTGAGAAGCAGCCACGGCGTCTGCGGAAACGGATCTCGACAAAGATGCACCAACGAGGCCAGAAGACGAGGCAACGTTGGGTAGAGGAGCTGTAGATGATGCAGGGAAGCGGAATTCGTGTGCAGGAGGCGGGCCTCCGTGAGTGGGAGACACAGACGCAGGGTGCCCGTCAAAAGCGTTGGAAGAATCGGCCTGCTGTGGGTAACGCCGGTTGTTTGGCGGAACAGACTGGGCTGCCCGTAAAGAGTCTAACGAGAGAGGGGATAAATCGTTGTGATGAAGCGGTAGAGCACTCGCTGGAGGAATTCGGCCGCGTTGTAATTGACTCTGACTATAATCTTGGTTGTGTGGTTGACATGGGTCGAGATAGTGCTGTGGATATTGATGACGAAGAGTTCCGGCTCGAGGATACGAGTTGGGCGGAGACGGGATACTGGAAGCATTGCGATATGAAAGATGGCTATTGAGGGAAAGAGCCGAATCAGTGTCGTAGCCGCCCGATGGCAGAAAAGCCTCGGGCGTGAATCTCGCAGCCATAATCATGGAAGGCACGTAGAAGGTTGGTCGCAGTGGAGCGTGGAATAAATCGGAGGAGTAGTGGGGGATCAATTTTTCGTTAGGAACTCATAGGGCGGTTGAAGTTGTTCTAGTCGATTTCTGAAGACTGGATGTTGTTGGTGCAGGCACTACTGAGCAATTGTCGTTGAGGTGTGGATTTGAATCCAAATTTGGTAACGTCGAGCAAGGTGAGATAAGGAAGGAAGACTCGACCAAGTTATTCTTTTTTTTTCCCCTTTGCTTGGATACTCACAAGGGCGAGTGAGACTAGATCCGAGACCAAATCCAAGGGATACTTCGAAATCTAGTATGACGCAGACCAGGTGGGTCGTGTACTGACACTGATTAAGTGGTTGATGAAAATACCAAGACAGGTTCCGTGAGTGTACGGCATGGAAGTGTGCGAATATTTTCGTCTGATCTTGTTCAAGTCCCTGTTTTATTTTTTGCGACGCGCCTATCCGCCAAGCGCAAGGTACAAGGACCCTTTATCTCGAAGAAGGTTGTAGTGGGAGTGGGAGGATGACGCTTTGCGTTAGGGTGCGCGGTGTAGTGATAAGCTTGGAAGATGCGAGAACAAAGTGATGATGTTAAGCAAGAGCAGAATCGACATAGATTTAGAAAGAGCAGGTAATGAAATGAAGTACTCCGTACAAAGGTGGAGAGATGAGACGTCGAGGTATGGAAATGAGTCAAACGAGGCAAGAGCAAATTAATTACCTTACATTGGAAAAGACGGTGACATTGATGATTTGTTCCTGCGCCAAAGCCAAGTTCGGGTCGGTACCTGCCACCCCATCCATGGAAAAGTATCCGACCTTCCATTTGGTTAGTACCGTAAGGTTACTTATTCCTGCCCAGACGCTGGGGAGGGTGCGCGTGCCGTGAAAAGACCAGGGATGGGAAGGTGTGGAGAGGGAGACTTGCACGCCACACCCAATAATCGTTAGAAAACACTTATTACCGGTCGGCGAGACCTTCTACTACGTACTCTGTACTGCACATGGACTAGGCTCTCATTGCAATTACTCGGGCTGATTATTGAGAACAAAAATATCCCTGGTTCAATCAAGTCATTTACATTTATATGGGTATCATATTAACCGTCAATCTCGCTTGATATTATCATATTTATTCGAGGTCTCATGACCAGATATCTTTAGTGGTTTTTGGTGTTACCCCTCGCCGCATATTCTCGTACTGAAGTTATTTCCAATTTGGCTGAATTGACCCCTGAACCCCCAGATTTTCTCTTCCACCAGATGAGAGGAATGTCTGAAAACGGATGCGACTACCTTTCCGAGAAGAGGATATTTCCCTAAATGGACCGTGTCTTGCTGTCATATCTCGGTCTTACACAGACTACAGATTATTGGAGGCGACCTAATGCTGAATTAAAGACAGCTTGTGGCAAGGTTCCCTTGCTTTGTCTAATCCGAAATCACAAGCATTCCACCATCTCAGTCTACCAACATTATCTGTCATGCCTCACTCGACGTGCCCCTAGTTCGCTTGTTTGCTTCTTTTGACTTTTCTGCTTGGTTATTAGCGAATGGTTTGCAAGGGACGGTGCGTTGCGGCAGAGACCGGACCGCCGGGAGGGCCAGAGGATGGGCGCCCGGACGGGTCCTGCTCTGAGAAATCAACCAAATTCTGTCCCAGTATCAAATCATTCAATCAAGACAGTGCACTACGTGTACAGTATGTACGCACCAGTGTCCGTTGTTTCAGGCTCTCTGGCACATTATCTTGTTATGAACGTATGTACTGCACTTCAGCGGGCTCTCTGCGGCCATCCTTCGGGGATTCATGCTGGACCACTTCTCTTGGCTGTATTGCCATACCGACAGGGGCAATGGGCCAACAGCACGCGGGGCTGGTTCAATGCAAAGAAAGTTCAGAAGACCCTTTGTACAGGGTTGGTTGGTAGGTTGCAACTTCTCGGCATTATCACCTTAGTCTAGCACCCAAGACACTATGGAGGTAGTTTTGGGTACAGACACACAACGTCGATTCCAATACCGGATCTGTTTGATACGACAGACTGCGCTTCCCATCCCTTGATGCTGTGCCTCTTAAACGCGTACCTGGTGTCGAGCTTGTCAGTGTCAAGGTCGCATCCTGGCCTCAGATCATCATCGATATTGCCACTCGATCTACATGATTGGCAGTGTGTGCGCCAGACACCAAACGGAACGCCTCCAAACTTTCCCACTGCAAGGGCGACCTCCACTGCGGTTCGGCCCCTTCAACGTTCTAGTTTGAGTTGGTGTTATCTAGAATCTTTCATTGGGTCTCGAGACTAATTTTTGCCATCTTTCTGGTTAACGCTCAAGCACACTACCAAACCAGCCTACCAGCCCAAACACGCATCGATAATAGGTAGCTTTTGTACAGTAGTAGTACGTACTCGACACCTAAAACTGTCCCAACCTTCCATTATCAATGCTCCACATTGGAGCCGAGTGTACTGAACAACACATCAATGGATGGTACAGTACACCTCACACCGCGCATTATCTGAGAGGGTTTGCTGGCAACGCATTGCAGCCTAGCCAAGCCTAGTCTCGCTCAGCTCAACCCCTCTCTCTGTTCCCCTGTTTATCGCCTTTCTCATCAATTACACCAGAGTCAGCTTTGCCATGTGGCTGGCTGGCTGTGGTTGAAGAATGTGTGTAACCCAAACCATCCAGGCTAGGAAGGCCTGGTTCCTGATCTAGATCGTTAAGCTTTACTCTCGATCCCGGTCTGCTTCACATGTCAGTGAATGTCTGACTTGAATTGTACCTGATTCTATTTGTGGGTGTTAAGCTTAGTGCCAGCGAGGTAGCTGTATGAGACATGTGATTTCTTACATCTCAGAAAGGCTTTTGCATGCCATCGGAAATGATTTGATGGTTCAGCAGCCGGGAGGTTCTTGTCAGTTCCCCGTGTCTCTTTACAAGGATCTATCCAGTTGAGCTTGAATGCTTAGCCAAGAATCTAGTGACGATATATGTCGTTACATCAATGTACCTAGTATGATTCATTCTGTGCCATTGACACTGATACCTGAATCGTCCGTGAGTCAGAGACAACAAGCGCCCGTTAATCAGAAATCTTCAATCGTCCTCGTAAGGTTCAGACGAAACAGAGGTGGGGCTGCAGATACGGGCCACCAGTGTGTCGGGAAAATCGGTCATGAATCCGTCAAGATAAACTGATGGTCAAGGCTACACGTCCAATTATCAGCTATCGAGTAAATAGTAAATATCTAAGAATAGCGTCATTATGGAGTTAGAAAGTTTGTTTTGTCACTCTGCTTGGCAATCAGGCGGGTCACAAAAGAACAGGGACAGGAAAATGTCAGACAGAATTATTAACTAAAGATGATCTAATTTTTCAGTCAATCACCGAATCCGTAATGGTTTTTTATGTGACCCATTGGCAGTATGATTAATTGTATGTAAGATGACTGATATTCCCATGCTGACTTTAAAAATCGAAGGATATGTTCTCATTTTGCACAGAGTAAGCCGGCAATGATGTCTTGATATGACAGTGATACTGTATAGAAGTATCGTGATAACACTCAATAATCTAAGGAATTGCTTCATTTGTTCGTCGTGCAGATTGAGAAGTCTACGTTGTCTAACCACGACAGATACTATAGAAAGTCATTCGATGTAACAATAAACACATGTGGTAAGAACAAAACACCGTTGACGCCAGCCCCCCTGATATAGTTGTCCGAAATACACTATTTTATGCCAGCATGATGATTCTCAATATTCGATGACAGCCATGCACTCTAGACGCCCATGGTGAAATCGTGCTCGATACCAGGCGTCACACTGGCCATAAACTGAACACATGTTAGCACGAGAATATTCTCGTCAATCGGATAGTAAACATACCTTGAGGAAGACAACCAAGTACTGGTCCACTCGGATAGCAACCTCGTGATCATCAATCTCGGCTTCCTGTACCTCCTCCCACTCATCCTTGTCAGCCGCCTCCTGAGCACCCTTGACATCTAGCTTTCCAATCTCGTCAACCAAACCTTCCATTCCCGAAGTTGCCTGGTTACTACTGGCGTTACCGGCACGGAGCTTCTCACGGCGCAGGCGTAGAGCGGCATCAGCGCGGTCAAGCAATGTCTTCATGACTGAAGCGTGCTTGCAAGGGTGCACGGAGGCCATCTTGATGTTGTTGGCGAAGAAGGGGAAATCCTCGAGTGTCACTGTCTTGTCCTTGTAGTCACCGACAATATCCTCCGTCATGTCGGTGGGAGGGAGAGGCTGGCCGTTGGCGAGATAGCCCGAGAGATACAGGCGGGGTGTTCTATAGTATGGAGAGTACATGATGTACAATGTGTACGTTCGGTGGGCGCTGGTACTGTTAGCAGATATCATCGTAGCTTGGACGAGATACCATCATACCTGTTCTTAGAATCGGCTCCGGAATCTCTGATAATAGCTTCATCGTCGTCTTCATCCTCCATGTCGGGAATCTCGTCATCCTCCACAACCTCTCTGTCACCGACATTTCCCGAGTCATCCACCGTCCTCACCTCCTTGACCTTGAGCGGCTGCGAGCTGGCCAGCCCACCAGTCCGCAGCCAGCCATCTTCATCGTCGCTTGGGTTACCCTTGAAGTCGTCACCATCGTTAACAAGAGCTTCCTCGTGTCCAGCGTCGCCAGCAAAGTCATCGTTTAGACGACGATGGCAAGGAACGTTGCGTGTGACGAGAAACTGCTTGCCGGGAGGCAGATGGCTGACTCGGCGTTCGGGAGAGTCGGCATCGCCCCAGGACCAGGTCGGGAACTTGTAGACGAGATAGTCACCAGCAGCAACAAACTCTTCGGGTGTGATTTGACCAGTCTGGCGGAAGGTTGACTTATGGGATACGGGTGTATAGCGATCCCGGAGGGTGTTGACTGTTGAGTAGAGGAAATTCATGACGGTCTCGATATGAATAACTTTGGTTCGAGTTTTGCGGTAGTTTCCCGATTCTATAATGAACGGAAATAAATAAGCTTTGCCGTAGAACGGGCTCGTATCTTGTGTTGCTTAAAGGGTGCGGGGTTGAGTGAGCAAGCTTGCGAAAAGTTGTAGAAGGTAAAGTAAGTTTGGATTGTACGGAAAAGAACTATGTGAACAACCCTCGTCCTTTAGTCACGCCTACTAGAGAAGAAGTAGGATAACTGATAAAGAACAGGCAGGACAAGTGAGGTTTGCCTGAGTAATGCTCATCATGCCTGCACTGTCCACCGATGAAGCGATCACATGAAGGTGGAGGTGTGCGTGCCTGGACCCCTCATTGGCTGTCATGTGGGGGTGAACCAATAGAAATGTATTGAGCTTCGACAGAGTGGGCGTCAAAATAGTCTTATCTTATCAAGATGCACGTCATCGTTGGAGCTGTATTCACTTAACAAGTCTGGTGCCCAAGTCACGAGAAGGAAAGATGGATCATAGATAGTCCAAATATTATATAAGTCCTGATTAAGTGCAATGTTGTATGATATCGTGGTATCTTCTTCTGTCCTTCGCCTGCGTAACAAATCTTGATAAAACACACATCTATAAACGCCTGCTCTCATTCCTCATTAGCTTCCTCCTCTTCTGCCTTTTTCTTCTTCTCTTCTCGTTCCTTTTTCTTCTCTAGTAATTTCTTCAGCTTCTTAGCTGAGTTAAACACTCCGTTTGTTCCAGCTCCACATGATGCACATGTTGGGTCCTTTCTGTATCTCTTCAGGGCACATGGCTCGCAAAAGTAGTGCCCACACCTCGTCACGATCGGTTCCCTATATGACCCCTCGCAGATGATGCATGCGAATGGAATCTTCTCCAGCATGGCTATCTCTGCCTCGTCCTCGGGAGCTTGCTCTTTCTTGTCACGATTGGCGCTCGCAATGACGGTGCCGCCCAGGTTCTTCTTGCCCTTTGTGACTTCCTCCCATTCCTTGTCGAGCTGCCAGCCTTGTTTGACGTCTGTTCGATCGTGCAGGAAAATACAACTATCGCCAAATCCACAGTGGCCAGTCTTTTTGTAATCTTTACAGATGTCAGGCTTGAAGTCCATGACAGTGATAGTTCGAATATTTGTGGGGGCCTTGACAGGGCCTTTCGCTCTTTGGGGCGCATCAGGATTCTTCTGGATGAATGACGTCTGATTCGCGAGTCCTTTATATGTTCCATCCGGTTGTGAATCTTTCACGGTACCTCTTGTTGAGCCTAGGAGGTTCTTTGCTGAGAGCTCATTCTTATCTTCTTCATACCAGTTGCTGTGTTTTGTCGCGTCGTTCGTGCTTGTGATAGGTACGTTACGGTCCGCCGAGTAGATCGTAGCTGAGAAATCCTTCTTCCCTGAAGCCAAGTCTTTAGAAGATGCTGTGACGGTAGCGGCCTTTTTGCGCCGCTTGACGCGCTGTCCAGACTCGTCCTCTGAGGATGCGTAATCGCTGTCGTCGCTATCGGCTGGAGGTGGCGTCGCAGGTCGCTTTCGAATGTTTGCCTTGCCCTTTGCGCCTCTCTTCTTGAATACAGCGACGGGCGCTTGGGATTCTGTAGTTGAGTCTGCCATGTTTGCAAATTTCGATGGCCAATTTTTGAAATGGTGAGCGTTGGTTATCAATGCGACAGTTGGCGATTGGAAATCAAAGTTTCTACCTCAGTAGCTCGGATTAAATCCAAAAATAAGTGGTCATGTGACTACGCGTTGGTCTGGTGTTGGAGCAAGTAATTAAATTTCCTCAGAGCAGCATTGAGAAAATGTAGCTATTATTCTTGTAAGTAAACCTCACCCTTTTAATGCAATTTTATTAAAGCCATATGGCCGTGGAATCATTCGCGTATGCACTAGCTGATTAGCCTTTCTCGGTTTACAAGATTCTGTTGTTTCTTTAGGTTCATGATATACAATAAAACATTCTTAACAATGAAACTTTAAACTGTTTCTCATGGATTTATCATCGGCTTGACCCTTTCCATTAATCTTCATTTTTATTTAAGGGCAAGGTTTGAATTAAACACCTCCAGCTCACCAGCAAATTTGAGCTTACTGCCATGCGTGATCCTCCTATATCTCTCAACCATGGTGACTATCTCGCCACGATCCAATGAAAAGATGCTCAACAAGAATACTCGGGTCTCCCTTTTCATGGGTATTCTCGTGTGGCAACCATCCAAAGCTATCCTTTGGTAAGACAAGCACATCTCCAATCAATCTGGGCTCAGAAAGACTGTCTAGTTCATCACCAGTATGTTCCGTGTCCGTCATTTCTTTGAAGTAGTCCATGAGAACTTTCGTAAAAGCAAATGGTCCAGTCGTACTCATGACCTCTTCAAATGAAACTCCTTCTCCAGGCTTCTTGGACACAAAAAGCGTCTTGAGATCCCTCGCCACTTGTTCAACAACTGTCTTTATAGCCGGATGATCTGGCTTTGCTAATACTGAGTACTGGCATAGCTGTACGGAATACGGTGAACCAGGCCAGATTGGTTTCTTGTGATGATCGTTTTCTATCCCGATGACCAGATTTACTGAGCCTTGATATTGCTTGGGTATCCATTTTGAGACAGGCTGATGTGGATACACGTCGATATCTGTCCATACACCACCTTCGCGCAGCAGGATGAGATATCTCAAGAAATCGGCTTTCAAGATGGGATCTTTCAGGCTTGTAAAAACATCCGAAATGTTGGTGTCGAAGCGATCAAGAACGTAAGCGTCATTGTTGGCGTCGGTTATGCGCTCGTACCGCCAGCCAGGGTTTACGACACGCCATTGATGAGGGAAGCCAACTGTCCTTTCAGTGGGATTCTCGGAGTCGTCTTTCCAGCTCTGCCAAATCTTATGAGGAAATGCTTCTGTCTTTAATATGGTAGCACTTGTCCTTTCTGGCTCTTGAGGTGCGTTGTTTGCTATTGCGCATGTTAATATCTGATTGTATAGGCAGGTGGGGAATCCAGGACTCACGACTTATATGGCCATTATAGGCGTAATTGCTAGCCAAAAGCACGACAATCACAATAGCTGCCAGAAGAGTATACGTGTGTTTTCTATGCATTGCTGTCGATAATAACATTGTGACCAGATCATGTGTTTGTGGTTCAAGGGAGGCAAGCAAGAGGATGCGATCAATTGAGAATTGACTTCTATCAAGGTAATAATAAGACATTCCAGCCCTGTCCCTCACATCACGAGCCCTGGTCTGGGAGATGCTCAACGCCAGCCAATTACCAACGTCCTCTTACTGCCCAACGCTGGGCATCTTTGGAACTTCAAATATCGACAAGCAACACACCAAACGGATGTCGCGATATTGCCTGATGCTGGGTTCCGCTACCAACAGCATACTCAAACTTGGTAGAGTTCATCTTAGATCCTTGGTCATAACCAATCACAGCCTCTTGTATCGATGTATATTGGATCATGGCATGCCGTTTTTCTTCCTCATACATTGCAACAATGGCGATACCCGCGAGGCTAGATACAGCTTCAAGGACTTCAGACGAAACAAATAAATGAGTGCGGCCAACATGCATGGACGTTGGGAGATCTTTCCCCTCAGACTGGCCTTCACTCAAACTTCCTGCTTCTGTGTTCTTTCACGATTTATTCCAAACCACACGTACACGTCTCTTCGGGGCTGCATACAAACACACTTGTTACGATGACAAAGCTCATCGCTGCGTTGTTTCTTTACTTTCTCCCGATATGTATCGCTGCTAGCAAGTGCTACTATCCCAATGGTATCGAGGCCAATGATTTTCCTTGCGACCCAGGTGCCGATGAGAGCACATGCTGTGGAGGAGGTTTAGGCACGGTATGTCTGTCCAATAAGCTGTACATTGGAACAGACGGAAACACCTTGAGAGGCTCGTGTACAGATAAGAACTGGGCGTCGCCCGAGTGTGCTATGTATTGTTTGGGTAAGTGATGCTCGGCCTTGAGTCTACATAGCCATACTAACGATTACGACAAAGGTGCGGATAGAGGATGGTGTCGGGGCTGTGCTGGTTATGACAGTCGTATATATTCTGTGGAGGATACGCAAGAATAAGAAGGCTACCGAGAAAGAGAAGCAATTACCACCCACATATTATGGACCAGGTACCGATACCTCTTGGCAACAACATCATTATGCGCTTGGCGTAAAGGAGTTCACGCCTCAACCGCTACAGGAACTTCACGGACAGGCGTTGCAAGGTTATAATGTAAGGGCAGAACTACCAGCACATAATTGAAGGTTGGAAATGACATTGATTTAGGATCATGGCGTTGAGAATCACCAGGGATCTGTTTAAAGCCTTGTATTATGTAGCATAGCTATAGTGTATTTTCCGTCGTCATGATGTCTGTTGGCGCTGATGAACAATCACACGAAATTATCGCAGTTGGGCATCACTTTGTAAGGCTGTTGAAAGCTCACGTAGGGCTGTCATATAGATTTCAACTCTCGTGAAGAGATTTACTAGCCTTAATGGATTTTTTTTTCAAGACTAGAAAGTTCGCACAGACCTGGAAATTGTCCAATTTGGACCCTGATGTTCGACAGCGAAACCCTTGACAGCCTCGTTGAATCCACATACCGATATTTGAACTGGGAACACCCCCGATACAGCAAGATTAGGGATTGAAAGATAAAAAACACAAGCGAGTATTTCAACAGTCTGTGGGGAGTTTCAACGCGGTGTCAATTGTTCCCTAACTCGATATTAATCAGCACGTGACTTGGTGATATAATGTTGGAGCTGAACTGAACCTACCCTGTACCAACGTTTCCATGTTGAGTTTCGTGTTAGTTACCAGGTAGTTTACATAGTTTATTCGTTGTCGTTGAGTAATAAGGCAACTAATAATTTGGACGATATGGTGTCAAGTAGTTGTCCGTCTAATCATCGCCATTCAAGACACGATTCCCATTGAAGTTCGACGTTCAAGTACTCACTCTGTTGTGACAACTCATTTTCTAAACACCTCAACTGAACAACATAACAACACTATGACAGTTTGCACGTAATGCTCCTTACCCCCGCAGGATACATATGTATGCACATGAACTACGGTGGCCCTAAAAGGCCATTGCCCAAGCAGTGCATGGAAGCGACATTAAGATGTGAGGCTTATGTCTGACGTGTCTGTGGAGGACTTGAACAACGATGCGGCAATTGGCCAAGGCACCAAATAAATAATAGTCCAGGAACCAATGCAACTCGGATTAGCCATACAGGACAGAGAACTGGACACCCTAAACACAGCCATTGCGCGCAAGACAAAACTTTGTTGACCAATGTACTCAGTATCGTGTTATTTTTGGACGCGGTATGGATCGATCACGGGAACCTGCCTAGCCCAAATACAGATCTGATGAACCATCACACCTCATCTATTAACGCGAAATAGCAGACGGAGGAGACGAGGCAGCTGCTTCTAACGCACTAAAAGTATGCTTCTCCACTGCCGGACAGGGCCAGGTTCAGGATGGCAGCTAAGCGTAATTGGCCGAAGAGAGACCCTGGTTTAGGATAGCCATGGCAGCGAAATGAGATGAGAGACTATGTTTATGCGGGAGTCTTTGCGAACCTGGACGCCAATCGAAGTTTTCTTTGTGCATGCCTTATCGACCATGACGGCATTTGGAGGGCATTTATGCGGAAGATGGCGTTGTGGTTTAACTGTTGTGGCTGCAGCACAGACAGTAAGTACATCGCTTAAAGTCAACATCGCGAACCGCGTTATTTGTTTTTATCCATTCTGGACCATACATACAGAGTAATTAGTATTCTGACCACCTACTGTATGCATATGCAGCAGATTATACTTTATCATTACTCGCATAAACCCCGCAGCCTTACTGAATATGCTGTGTGGCAATGCGTAATATTGAGTTGTTCTATCGCTTTAGGGACAAGGTCGAGGAAACAAGGAATATGCCTACAATTGAGTTCAAGACCGGATGATCGCTTTGTATGCGGCAAGTTATCGAATGCTTCTAGAGACGGGCTGGAAGCTCAGTTTACACTTTGTAGTACATGACACGAGGCGTTGCGCCACGGTAAACCCAGCGACAATTTTAAAGAACTGGGAGCTGTTCGCGATTTGGTGCAGAACCCTCATGAGCGCCTCAAGGTCAATGCTAGGGCTTATTAGTTCAATATGCGCTCTTGAACCTATCACGACCACTGTCAAAGTTGCGGAGCAAACCGCTTGCAGAGAGCGGGAAAGATGGCAAATGTTTAAAAGAGATGGACAGGTACAGATAGATATATTCCTTGATTTGCATTGGTTGGTGATTTCGATGTGCAGACAATAGCGTCATTTGTTCGTCCATGGCTGGTAGACAAGAGGATGAAGCTGGGATGAGGATAGTGGGTGGTAGTGAGCCGTAGTATTGATAACCAATTCCGTTAGCCAAGCCAGTAATTGTACCCTTGTAGGTTGATCCCTTCACGGAAGGTTCTGGCCATGGAAATGCATCAAAATGAACGGTGCTTTAAAAAGCCAAATAAGAAGCAACGACGAGAAATAGCATTAAGATAGAATAAGAAAGTAAATAGACACAATAATCCTCAACTTCATTAATTAACATGAGTGGCTGGGGAGACCTGAGCTACTGTATCCGTACTGTCTCAACAACATAGCGGTGTCGCGAATTCTCCACGTCCCATCAGACTCCACGTTTATCCCGGACAGTCCACGAAAGTGTCAACCTCGCTTCATGACTTTGTATGTATGTACAATATTACAAAGAGACATGAACTGCCGAGTACAATGAGTTCTGATATGATGGTTCAATATATAGCGATCTGATATAGTCATATCAAAAGCGAAGTTATTCATCTCAAATTGTGTGTAGTATGTCTTACATAGTAGTCCTAGCGAAAGAATTAATATTTTATCGGAGCACCCCTGAAAGTTGACAGGGGACAAAACGAACCCACAATCCCATCAGCAGACCAACAAACCAGACCAGGCCCTTGTGTATCTCTCGACTTTAACGCAGGTACTGGACGCAGGGGAAAGAGGACCTAGAGCTGGACCTAATCATCACGCACTATTTATGCACCGTGCAGGAACACTAACAATGGACCTCCAATCGCCAGCATAGACACAGCTAGGAATAGCAACACCAAATCCATACATAGATTCATTAGTAGCAATTTGCATATCTCATGTCAAAAGCATAGCTTCCATAAACGCACAGCCCTCGAGCTGGAGCCTATTCCCTGCTAGATCTCTATCAATTAAAGAGAAAAGAGAAGAAAAGAGTCTCCAGCTTCGCCTGTACCCTGGCCTAGTCTGGGAAGCGAAGCTCCCCAGTCAGGCCCGTCTCCTTACATTGAGCTCATATCTCTTGGGGTTGATTGATCTTGAACTTCTTCCCTCTTCCGTCTTTTGACCTTTTCCACCGTCCCTTTTCGTAATACTAACCCAACAGCAAAACCTTCGATTTTCGAAACGGGCGATAAGCGACTACCGCCAAAGATCGGAACAAAGGGAGGCGCGTCTACTTTACGACTTTTGGATGCACTCTACCAATCACTCGGCATTGTCGTCCCCCTTTTGATACCGTCCTGAACTTTAGGTCACCGTCACGGGGCCGTCCATTCATTCTTTCTGGGACAGTCGATTATCTGAGAGTCGTTGTTTTCATCCATCTTTAGACTTTATCGTTCAGCATCTCTCACTAGCGACGACTTTCTCGACCATCTACGTATTTCTTATTACAGGACGCGCGACTTTCGTTACATTTTATACTTTCTTCTCTCTCGTCTTTGTCGTATATCAGCCAACCTCGGTTCCCTTTTCCACGGCGATTCCAACACCAATTCCTCACGAAACCTCAAACGTCACCGGCCGGCCGCCCTTGAAATCAGACGATCCACACCAGTCCACTTTGGAAATAAAAAGAGACTTCGCCGCCCGAGCACACTCCACCAGAAGCTCAGGTACCAGTGCTCCTCGACTCCTGTCTCTTACTCGGAGTCTGGACTCGTCAACTCTTCTCCTTAGTCTGTTTTCTCTCTTTCTCTCTCGCGGGAACTTTTGGTCAATCTGCTGCATCGTTCGCGTCACCGTGAGCTCTGCCGACAGTGATAGGCCAATTCATCCGGCCATTTGAGCTTTCAGTTGTCGAATTCCACCCGGGAATGAGCAACGGGTTCGCTGTCATATAATACTTTGGAAACACATTCCAAAAGCCAGAAGCCAGCAGCAGAACAGCTTCCCAGAATACTGCGACTTTCTGGGGACCTTGCCAAAGTTGCGACAACTCAAACCGACAGGGGTACAGTCCACTAATTACTGGTCTTGGTACAACCCACTCACTTGCTCAGTCATTCGCTGTGTTGTGCAGTGCTTGTGCTTGTGCTTGTGCTTGTGCTTGTGCGTCGTTCGCTCTTGCGTGTACCTGACTAAGGTTTAATCGCTGGCGCGCTTTCGACAGGACAAGTGTGTCAATAATTAGACACCTTGCTCACCCACAAACCTTTGGGTATTTCCAGTCACATCTTCCTCTGTACCATCCAACGGTATCTCTCAAGTTGCTCTTTGCTTGCGCTTCATCACGCTCATTCTTTTTTTTTTAATATTCTTCCTGTTATTATTATACTGCCGACCGCTTCCTTTTTTTTTCTCATTCGGACAATTTCGTTCTTTCCGTCCAATTTCTTACAATAATCTGTCTTTTCTTCCACTTGTTCTGTGGGAATTGTCTTTGTTTTTCCTCGCAGCCGGGTCTGCTTTTTACGGGTAGTAGCTCCAATCTTACGCACTCTCCCTGCAGGTCGCTTTACCGCAACCTGACTGGTCGACATATTGAGGCACACGCCAGCCCAGCTCTAATCAATTACGGTACTGTGCTGTCCCTAAGGTGGTACTGGTACTTTAACGGTAGTACCCCATCTTTTTCGACACAAACAAACAACAACACGTTGAGAACACCCTGCACCACAACTCGGAACAAACATAGAACCTCAATCCCCTGCGACGGGCCTGCTACGTCGTCCGTCTGCGCATCTTGATGGTTTCAAGGCGTGATTGAGGAAGTTCTCCCTGCCCGGAAGAGGGCCACATTTGCTTCGCAATCATGGCTTCTTCGCTGGCTTCCGACAAGCCAAGCTTGCCCGCACCTGGCGCAGCGCCGTGCGACCCGTTTGTTATCACCGACGACACCATCACAACAACACCCGCTCACCACCGATATTCACAATACGATCATGACTTTTTCGTCACTGGCCCTGCT